GCCCAAAATTGTAGCTGGCTCGAATCGGCTGAAAATTACAAGCGCGCGAGGATCACGCTCGATAAAAGCGGCTCGAGGCTGTAAAAGGTAATTGCGCGTAGTGTCGGGCTACGCGTAGGAATACATAGATAGGTTTTTATAGTACATAGCTCGGACGAGCATCGGCAATTCGTTCGCGCTCCGAGTCGCTATTTAGAACCGGATGTGTGACTGCTCGAGTCATGGGATGTGTAAGCTAGAGCGAGCTCGTATATAGCTACACGTAGTTATACACACACACCTATAACTATAATTACAGCGTATAAGCGCGCAAAGTGTATAGTTCCGCGAAGTAGAGCGTATAATAGGCAGCAGCAGCTCGTCCGAGCTCTATGATCGCGGGTCAAGGTACAGTCGCGCAGGTATATATATCCGACCGGCCGGCGGCCTCTGGGCACTACTACTGCTCCGACCGAAGAGACGAAAGGCCGTGCGTGACGATCGACCTGCAGCCCGACTCGCGCGCAAAGAGCACATCTTCGAAAACGGCTACTCTTTACGCGCCCAGCTCCACCTAACAAAGGCAGACCTCGGTAATTGACAGCTGGCGATGCTCAAAAATTTGGATACGAGGAAAGCCTTTTTACTAACATTATGCCAGCATAATATATATAAATGTATAATGAAGTCGGCATTATGCTTTTCGAATTGCCAACAGCTCTCTCGACGAACGAGTTACTACCATATACAGCCGATGTATCCGAGGCAGCCCGAGCTCGCACGCGCGTCCCGTGAATCGCGCGCAGATGAGCCTTAAACGTTTAGTCGAAAAGCAGCATCGGCCGCGCACACACAGCGATGCTCGAGCACGTAGATTTCGAGCAAAGTTGAAATTATCGCCGAGGCCAGTTTCATGATAATTGCGATCATGGCGCGCACGAGTTCCCAGGCCTCCTCCACGAGAGGAGCCTCATTTTCATGAAACGTTCGAGCGCGCGCGATTCGCATATATACCTACGACGATTTACATTGTAACGATTGCGGCCCCGTCGTGGTGAAAGCCGATTCTGAAAATTCCAATAAACAGCCGGAATGCGCAAAAGGGACTTTTCATTCCAAAACTATTAGCGAGCGCGCGCTATGTTTTTTCCCCGCAAAATATAAGGCGCTCGTGCAACGAATGACCAATTATACGTACTAAAAAGGCACACTCGCGCCGCTCGCACCGTCGCTCCGAGCGATAATTTTCAATTTCTTCTACCGAGCTTGTAATTTTCATCGTTAAAATTCAAACGGAACGGCCGGGAAAAAGGCGTCCAAGACCATCATCGCACGAATCTATTCCTAATTAATGCCTCGGCTTTAACGAGATATTGCATTTCGATAACTGCGTACGTCGCGCGTTTTGCCTGCGCTTGAAAAGAATCCCGATACTCATCGAGTCAACGTATTCTTTGCGTCAGTATGCGACAAACAAAACGTACAGCCCCTTAAAGAGACAACCTCAATTCTTCTCTCTTCTCGAGTCCTCTTCTCTCTCTCTCTCTATACTGCAGTCATTAAGATAAGAGTAAGTGCTACTAAGTGTCCCGCGGATAAGAAAAAGGCGACGAGACGCCGCCACGGTTTCGCTCGCTCGAGCTCGAATATAATAATTCGCTCGTCCCGGGCATATTTTCGCTGACGTTTTCTTCCGCATATTTATATTCTGCCTACATAATTACGCCGTGTAAATCTTGCCGAGCTGTTCGCAAATCAACTTGTATCAACAATTAAGAGGGCTGCGCGATGAGTTGTTGTAATTTTTTCCGCGCTCGCCTCTTTCTCAACTTGGATTCTCTTTTTTTTAATGTATCCTCTTTTGTGCAGATAACGCCGTCCAACGGAATGGCCTTCGCATAATGAAAAGGAAGCGTAGTAAATTTTTCGCTCCTTTTAATGGCCAGTACGGCGGGCCGCGTGTACGGTGGGCGCAATTTTTCACCTAACCGCGATCTTGCTCCGCCATAAACTTGGCTTCGGCAGCTCCCCGAGTGTTTGCTCAATCCACGACCCGTATATATATATAATATATTAAACGACGCCACATGCGCAACCATCGTCGTCGGCGCCCAAAGCTCCGCTGCATCGAATTTTCCAAGACTGGCCTTTTCGCTCGACGATGTTTCGCTCTTTGCAAATTTTATTCTAACGATCTTCTCGGGCCAACGCTGCTACTGCCGCTCCTCCCGCTCCTGTGGCTGCTGCTGCTATTGCCGTCCTGTACATTGCACTGCATATCAATGAAATAAAATTAAACTGCCAGTCGGAGCACTAGAGCAAATATCGCCAGTCGTTGGATTTTTATTGCGTCATTAACAATTGGAATGAACAGTAAGTGCCGACCAAGGCGAATTTATTGTAATTGTTTAAGCACATTTATCGCACTTAAAATGCCAATAATAATAATAATAAAAAAGGCAGGTGTCGCAGACATTAGCGAGAAACAGCGATATGTGACTATTGGGTCGTTTTTCCGATTTTGTCGAGCTTTGCGCCCATTTTCTCGTCACATAGTATACGAGCAAGATTATTGTATGAAAGCTATTTTACTCGACTTGAGTGAGATCGAAGCAACTTGACTATTGACCGTGTCGATTATCGGCGCCGCCACCTAATGCTGCGAGCGCCACCTTGACGTATGAGCTTTAAGCAAAATCAACCGAAGGTAACGAGACAATGCCTGTTCTGCATAACCATCGAACGTATTTACAGTAAAAATAAACTGTCGTTGTAACAGAGTTCTGTACTTACATTTTATTTTTTGATCATTCTAATATAATTTAGTAAATCTATTTATTCTAAAATGTTTCATATAAATGGCAAATATTTGTCAAAAAATATTTTCGCTTATTTCAAATATATTTTTAAAGAATGTAAGCTTTTGAAAGTTTTAAAATTCTTAGTTATAATTTATCAAGGACGAATGCACTGTAATAATAAAAACAATATTGAATTTATATAAGTTTACAATGGATTTTATATGGGTATATAACAAATTTATTCAAACTTTTCATTGTATGCAGTTTTCTGTTTATATTTGCTTCGAACAGGTTGAGTAGAGAAAGGATAAACAAATTTCAGCTGCATCATTAAATTAAATAAAATCTAGCTAAATGTTGTCACTTGATCAAGTATACCTCCACATACGTTTCTTTCAATTGATTGTATTTGAGATTCTTTCATTGTAGGCGTATAAAATTTTCGGTAATAAAAAATGAAAAACAAGAAGAAATACATGATCGGCGGGTAATTTTCCATCGGGAGGCTGGGATGCAGTATCCAATACTGCTATCATTTTTGTCAAAACAAAAGCCACGAGCGGCGCTTGTGCATTATATACAAGCTCGTCCTTCCTGTCAATTCGTTATGACTACTTGCCCACTGGAAATTATAGATTTTTTTTTACACATAACAAGGAGGAAGGTCATCGGTGGCATACTTTTTTTTTCTAGCTTTATATTTCTCGAAATTCATTGTAATCGATCGAACGGTACCTTGGGTGCGCGTTGAAAAGCGATAAACGAGCGATTTCGATGGATGCTCGAGAGCTGGGTGCGTTTCAGGGCCGAATCACTCATCGAATTATCGTGCAAATAATTATTGCAAATACGATCGATGCGGCGTTGGCGATGGCGGCGGCGGCGGCAGTAAAAAAAAAGAAGCGACAACAAGTGTTGTTATCGGCGTCGATTAGGCGCACGCGAAGATTGCGAGGATAAGTGAAAAAATCAACTCGACTACTCGAGCGTTGCACAATTTAAAAGCTCTTTATAATATATACGCAAAAGAGTGTCAACAATCGTCGCAGTGTAAATAGGGAGGCCGCGTATTATTGGCATAATTGTTTATCAAAATCGCGCGAGGCAGGTGTAGGTAATTGCTGCGGCAGACGTGCGTGACGTTCGCCCGATGCTCGGAGATGAAAGAGAGCGTGCAGGACTCGAGAGATCGACTCGTGCAGTTTGTACTTCCGTCGAGAGCCCTGCGTGGACAATGAGAGCAATCCTCTACGTAACGAGGCGGCGGCCTTTTGCGCGAAACCGAAAAACCGTTTAACTGAATAATCCTTGCGATAAGTTTCGCTCGTTATTTTTTTCTTTCCGATTAGCAGCCGCGCGCGCTCGGAACTGTAAAACGTCGGTGCTTTTTTCTCGCGCGCTTATGCGCCGCTTAGCTCACGACGTCTTTGTTTCCAAGAGCCTTTGTATAGCGTTGTAATTGTCGCCGAGCGCGCGATGACTTATATACATATAACGTAGAATATAATATGCCGAAGCGCCGATATTACTTTGTTTCCGACACGTCTGCGCGAGGTCATCGGTTTCTATTTTTTTCTTTCTTTTCCATTTTCAATCGTATCTAAGCGCTCGTAACGAATATCAATCGTCACAAAGCCAGCATCGATGACGATCGTAACTCGTTAACGGCGTCCAAAATATGAACGAGTCGAATCAAGAGGGGTCCGATCGAAAGTGGCCTTTTACGAGCGTGTTTGGGACTCGATGCGATGCGCGCAGTCAATTAAACTGGATCAGATCGAGTTCGCGGTCGTGTAGCTGCCGGTCCTCGAGGAAGAGTCGTTTTTGCCAAGCTCGAGTAGGACAGAACGTCTCGTCTCGTAGTCGACCCGCGGCATTTCTTGCACTGCTCGCTAACGCGATTGCGCTAATTTTTCTCGTCGTTTTTTTTCTTTTACTTTTGTCACGGTCAGTAGTCAATCGTCGATCGTCGTTCTTTATTCGTCGCTATACTCGCGAGCCATCGGCTTAAAGTTTTATAGTCATCGCGCGACACATCGGAGTCGGTCGCAACTCCACTTTTCGCACGACACAGTGTAAGTCTATTCCAGAATCCAGACACGCATGCGTAGTCGCGAACGTTCGCAATCAGCACTCAGCAGCAGCAGTCCGTCAGATTTGGATTTTGGAGTCGCGCAGGCAGCAGCAGATGTGCGCTCGTGTTTGTGCGCGGCCCCTCGAACGCTAAAAATTTCCAGAGCGAACGACGTACGGCCGACGACGCCTGAAAGTGGGGCTTCGAGGCTGCCTCGAGCGTTTAATGGCTAAAGAGCGAGAGAGAAGAACAGCGAGTCCAGCTCGGTCGCGGAACGAACGAGTCTGTCTGGCTCTAAGCGAGCTCAGTGTATATCGCGCCTGCAACCTACATGTATAGTTATATATGCAGTACTGTCCGTAGCGTTATGCCAAGTGTGTACAGTGTGTGCAGTCAGCGGAGCAGAGTCGGAGAGCAAAGTCGGAGCAGCGATCCCGCGGACACATAGAGTATATAGACGTCGTTGCGAGTCGAATCGTCCACTGGCAGCAGTCCGCAGCGGACGCTGTAATCTCGCTTTTTCACGCAGAGCATATAACCTATATGTAGCAGCAGCGACCGTTCATTCTGCATTGTTTATCCATCCTCTTGTCCGTGTCGTACGTGCGTGTGTGTGGGCAGCAAAGGCCGTTGCCTCGCTCGAGCCTGCGATCAGTGGTAGTGAGTGTGGCCCCGCAGTGACATGTGCAGCTGCTGTTTCCGCGAGACCGTCGATGACTCCGAGTACGGACCAGTAGTCTGCGTGCTGTGAGTCGTAGAACGAGCCAAGCTACTGCATCCGTAGCTACTCCTCGAGCTGGACTGCCGAGCTCCGATTACCATGTCGAGTGGGACGAGCTACTATTTCACGGTGTGCGACTACTGCTACTCGTTGTACTGCGCCAATTGTCGCGCAGTCAAAAGTTGAAACAACGCCAGGCGTTATACGCTCGAGCCATCATCGAAATGACGGCGGCGAATCTATTGCCATTGCGATACGTTTATAAAGAGGCGGCGATAGGCCAGTGCTTGCTCGGTATTAGGAGCAGTAGCATCAGCAGCCATTGACTCTTTTCTTGGCTCGACTGCTTTGGACTGCTTGTCAGTTGTCGTTGCTGCGCCTCTGCCCTCTCTGTGTGCAAGTGTGCGAGTGTGAGTGCGTGTATGTGCGACTCGGTATCTCTTCTGTTTTGTTGTGAGGCAGTGAGTGCAGGAGCAGCAGCAGCAGCAGCAGCAGCCGTGGCTGCACAGTCAACAGTGCACTCTGCAGCGAGCGTGTTTGTACTGTTGTTTGTGCACACAAGAGAGGATCAGGCAGCGACATGAAGACTGCTGCTTCGCTGCCGATAAGTCTTATCGTGAGACAATAAACGACTACGACGACGACGACGACGACGAGCAGCGAGTCGACGATCATTATGTCGCATTGTGAAAAGTGAAACAAGAAGGCAGAAGCCGAGCAAAAACGACGAGAGCAATAATAATCAGTGCTGGGCGTATGTGCGTGTCGCGGGTGATAATAAGGCCTCCCGAGCCTCGCGCCAATACGCGTATGTTTTTTAACCAGAGCCCCATCCGGATCGAGCAATAGCGAAAAGCATCTCGGTGGCCAGCATCATGGACTCCATCAGAAAATGGTTCTATAGACCCAAGGTGAGCACCATATATCCTAGCCTAGCCTAGCCTTACTCTGTGTGTTTTGTTGCTCGTGCTAATGCAACAAAGCCACCTGTTAACTGCGACTGATATCGCGTAAATGCGCTGCTACCATCTTATTTTCGATCAAATGTCGAGGCTCGCTTTTGTCCGCTCCGGCAAAAACAAGCCAGTTCGAACGAGTCGAATCGTTATCAGCTTTATCAAGACGAGCTCGCGAATCGCAGGTTGCGCAAGTTCATCGACTTTTCGATCTACCGATGCGAATGTGATCTATCGCTGGCACTGACGCATGTCCCTGCATAATATTTATACGCTTTTTCTTATTGTGCGCAAGTCCTGCTTTTTTTTCTCTTTCCCTCTGCCCCTCTAATCAGCTGATTGTACAACTCGAGCACCAGCGCCCGTGCTCTAGCGTCCATCCTTTGGAAAGTGATATTTTGTTAGACATATATGAAGGAGAGAGATAGAGACGGACCGCAGCTGTGCAGTACTGCCTCATGATTGAAAAAGAGAAAGTCTCGCCGAGGTGTACTCTCGCTCTTTGCGAGTACTGCAAAACGAGCGAAAAGAAAGGGAGGGAGGAAGAGAGATCGACACCTCTTTGAACAATTTTTTTTTTGCTTCTCTCCTCGATCGTTTATCTAAAACTTTCGAATTTTGCACGAGCACATAATAACGATAAGGCTCGCGCGAGCAGCGACGAAAAAGAACGAGGATAAGGATGAAGAGTGCGCGTCGCAAAACGCAAAATAATCGGCACGAAAAAAAGAGAGCGTCCGTCGATGTAGTTATATGTATATACGATCGTCGCCGTGAATGAGCGGAAGTTTCAACGTAAAGTCGCGCGTACGTGTAACATGTATATCTCCGTTGCACATTTACGTATACCTATACGTATAATAATGTATACGGGTGCATCACGCGATTGTACGTGAGAAAAAAAAATGTACATAGAAGGTAGGCATGCTATAACATTACGGGGCCGAAGCGATCGAGTGCCTGGCTGCGCGCTCTATATGTATGTAACAGTTTTCGCAGAGCACACACACCGTGTGTCAGACCATATAATGCACGATACAGGCACGAGCACTAGGCATGTGTTGTGGCACGAACCGTTCCCCTTTCAGTAGTAGCTGTATAAAAATTATTATATTTCGACCGATGATCGTATATGGGCTCCCCTGCACCACAATCCATATAGCGAGCATCTGCGAGGGAGGCTGAGATGAGTCACACCGCGCATTGTGTGCGACCCTCGTCGTGCCGCAGAAACGCGTAACTCCGAGCCGATATGTAGTAATGCGTCGATCCCGCGCTAGCAGTACAGCACGGAGCGAGCGATAATTTTCCTTTTTTTTTCTCTTTTTTTTTGCCCCGAGAGCACGCACCTATTTTTGCAATTAAAAACAGCACGTGCTTACGCTCGAATAAAAATAAAACTCGAGAACAGACAACGCGATGCTGGCCTACGCACTCACAGACGCACTCAGACAGTCACACAACAATATGTGCGCGTTAACCTTTATAACGTAATCGTCATTGCAAGTGGTTGTAGTTGCTAGTTATCGCTCCGTACCGAGCTAGCAGAACACTTATGTCTTACGTATTATTCCACTCATCATGCATTTATCAGCTTTTATTTTTCCACGCTCGCTCTTTTCCTCCTGCCGTATTTAAATATCGTCATCCCTTTGCTCCGGAGAAACGTATTTTGCTCTCGGTTACGATTATCTCCGTTCTATTGAAGAAAAAAATATGTCACGCTCGAGATCGAGTAATCAGTTGACCGTGGCATTTCACTCATTGAACCTTCGACGTTGTTGATTGTATACTTTTTTTATATATTTCATCGATCCTATTTTCTTCTATACATCTTCACAGTAATGCATAACAAACGAGTTAAAACAAGCTTTCGTGTGCCATTGTTTATGCACAAATTACAAGGGTGATTTCGAGTTCTTTCAAAAACGAAGACAATGTTTCATGTAGGGGCAAAGGTCACATCCGCACTCTATTTTATTTTGAGCAGAAACATATCAAAATGTCATTTCCAATGCACCTTTAAATATTTAATTGTAAAAGATGTACTTTTCAAAAATCAATGTATTTGCACATTTTCATGAATTCATAGCGTGCAAATCTACGTCGTTTGTGAAATCTGTTATTGTGACGTTAGTTTTACGTGGTATACGTCGATACACTTTTCTAGCTCGGTTCAAAGCCTATGACGTCATTAACTGCTTATAGCAGCAGTAGCAACACCAGATTATTCTAACAGCGCCAATACATCGGCGTGTTTTTTATTTATATTACACGCTTACGCGCAAGCATTAAAAGCCGAAATCGACTCGATAAAAAAAATTGAAACAATGAAAATGGGTTGTAGAAACGAATAAGAGTAGGCCTGTGCACGAGTAGCTTGTCCATTTTTATTTCAGAGTCAAGGTGAAGCGCGCGACACTCGGCAGCGGTCTTACGTTCGGCTACGAGCTAGCGCAAAAGAAAAAAAGAAACGTCGATATGTCGCTCTTTATGTATATCTGTGTTGTACGTGTGTATTCGTCGGCAGCTACACGATAGCGATATAGTTATATATAGATGCTTAAGCATCGATTGCATGCCTTTGGCTCGCTACTATTGCTCTCTTGCGTGGACAGAAAAACACGCACGCGACGAGCTCGCAGCCGCGTATCGAATTATCTTTACGATGTCAAAGTGTAGCGCTTGAAAATAGAGAAAAAAAATTCCTGTATATTGCACGCGTGCTCGTGAAGTCATCCGCAATTTTTCAATTGTTCAATTACATAGTCGAATTACATGGTCTAGCTGCTTCGTTGAAATGTTTCACTTTTCCAAGGCTCTTTTAATGACGTGCCCGTGATTGCCACCGAGCAGACACATCTGTATAGCTTTTGATCGATTAAAAATATTGATCATGTAGATTTCAAAAATCCATACGACCGAGCCATTGTTTCTTTCTGTCTGTCAAAACGATGCGTATTACTTAAGGGACTTGTATCAGTGAATCACCTACGCGCGAGACCCCTACTTTTCCTAGAAAATCACACAGACGCGTTCGAAAATGCTTTCGCCTCGTGGGGGTCTCAAAAGTATGGGGCAAATGATCAGAGCCGAACTAACATTAATTATCGTTAACTATACGCATTTAGGAGTCGTTCGGTCTGTAAGCGACAGAAAGCTGTTTTCTTATCGATCGACTCCATATCGCGATTAAAATGAGCTGAAAATATATCAGTAGTTAAAGTAGCTATGGTCTTTGATATAATGTAATGTGTATGTATAAAATTTCAGCGCGAAGATCAAAGTCCGCTGGCCCAGTTCTTCTACGCGGACGAGGCGCTGAACGCGGTCGCCTGCGAGCTGGACTCGTTCGACGGCCGCCAGGAGCCGGAGCGATGTTCGAGCCTGGTGAACCAGTTGCGCCACTGCCAGGACAAAGTACTTAACATCTGCAACCACATAATGGACGAGCTGATACCGGACGAGCGGGCGAATCGGGACTTCCGCGTCAAGTTCCCTGACGACGTCATGCAGGAGAACCTGGCCGGGCAGCTGTGGTTCGGCGCCGAGTGCCTGGCCGCCGGCTCGTCCATCCTGAACCGCGAGACCGAGAGCTCGGCCATGCGGCCACTGGCCAAGGCCCTCACCAAGAGCCTCGAGAACGTGCGCAATCTGCTGCGCGACCAGGCGCTCCGGGGCCAGATGAACCTCAAGGCGAGCAATCCCCTCGACCCGAGCGTCGAGAAGCTCGTCGAGTCGCTCAAGATCTTCGACCGGCTGTTCGCCGACTTCGAGCTCTGCTACGTCGGCGCCATGGTGCCCGTCAAGACCACCAAGGAGTACGAGCAGCAGGAGCTCGTCTGCGTGCTCTTCTCCGAGACGCTGCAGCGGGCCCTCGAGCGGGGCCTCCTCAGCCAGGCCGACGTCGACAACTACGAGCCGGCGCTCATGTTCACCATACCGAGGCTGGCCATCGTCGCGGGTCTGCTGGCACCGCCCGGCGGCCCCCTCTGCCTCAACTCGCCCGACAACATCAGCGAGATGTTCCGATTGTTCAGGGTGAGTAGTTTCCGCTATATGTGCCTCCGTGTCCTCGTTCATTCATCGCACCTTCCTACTTCTATTTTTTACTCTTTCCAAGTGAATCATCGTTTACGCGAAAAATGATTATCTAATTATAAGAAAAAAAAGGAAACAACTGTCATTGCTTTAATAACTGGCACGAAATGAATCATTCGCTTGATATATAGCAGCGACGCGCGTCCATTGTTTTGCGCGATAACGCGCGTATCATATGTATAATAACTGTTCACACTTGCCTCGTTTCTGTTGTCATTTTTATTTTGTCTTTTTTTTGTCCAGTCACTGCTCATGAAGATTAGAGAGCTGCTTTGGACGCTGAACAACCGTGAGCTGTACATGCTGGAAAAGCTTCTGTGCTCGATCGAGGAAACGTCGCCCACCATGAGCCAAGCGGGTCGCTCGGCCTGCGACCAAGTCCCGGATCTCGACGAATTCGTTTGCAACTTCTACACCGGTTATCCGAATTGCAAACACTTCTTGGCCGACTTTTACACGGTCACGCGCAACAACGGCGCCAACATGGACGAGATCGCCAACGACGCGGTGCTCATTCTCGAGAAGGAAAAGACGGAGCTGCCTCTGCTGGACTCGCCGGTGTCGGACGTGGCCCTGTCGACCCGCCAGAACTCCAGCGACTCGTCCGACGTCCAGTCTTACGACTCGTCCTTCGAGATACCGAGAAATCGCACCGCTCAGTACCTGCTGAATCAAGTGCGAGTCGATCGAGACACCAGAACTACACCGAGTCAAAGCGACCCCCACGCCGAGCATCGCGCCTCCTCGTCGCCGGATATAGATTCGCGAAAATTGATCGAGGAGGCCAACAAGAATCTTTCGAATTTGCTGCTCGAAGCTAACGATTGCCAGAACGAAAATTCCGAACAGACGGATTCTGGCATATGCACCGTTATTTCTTCCGAGAATACCAGTTTGTACGACAAAAGTCCGGAAGACAAGAGATCCTTCGACGAAGACTGCTGCAACGACAGCAGTGACCATCCACAGCAGCTGCTCGACGAGGAGGAGGAAGAGAATACGAGTTACTCTTGCTCGAATCTCAATTCACCACGGCGTCGCGACTCGAATCAATCCGATACTTCTTGCGTATGCAGAAGCAAAGTCAAAAATAATCCTCAAAATTATATCCAGCTATCCTTGGATTCGGGTGAAAAAACGGCTAATCACTCGGGATTATCGTCACAGATGTCGGGCTCGAACGAAGAAATAATCGGAGTGGCTTACGGCAGTGGCCAGCTGCCAGTTTGCGATGGCAATCAGCATCCAGCTCAGCAGCAGTTGCAGATCGGTTACAGCGAAAATTGGGACAGCCTCAACATCAATATCGGTTCGAGCAATCCCTCGGCGGCGTCGTCTTCTCGACGGGAATTCTGGAGCGAGCTCAAATGCGAAAACTGCCCGCAGCGAGCGACCCACAGGCCACGTAGCTCCAGGCGCAGCCATCACCAGAGTCTCCATCACAAGCAGTCGCAGGGAGAAAAAAATTCATCGAGACGCAACAAGGCTGCACCTGCGACAGCGAGCAGCAGGCACTTACAAGCAGAGGAGAGCGCCGGAACCTCGCGAAACAATTCAACCGACAGAGCGAATAAACAAGCGAGATTGATGAATTTGGGCGCTTCTCTTCATCCTAGTCATAATAGCAGGCAGATGCCTCGTTTCGGTAGAAGTCCAAATGCCAGCCCGCGAATGCAGCACTTCGCGACCGATCAAGATCCAGATCTTCAACATCGTCTTCAGCAGCAACATTATCGCAACGGAAGAAAGCTTCTCGAGAACCGGCGACTCAGGCGCGAGAGAACGGCCTACAGGCATTACAAGCGCAATCGACAGGCGCAAGAATCCGAGCGTGCACTCGAGCTCATCAACGACGGCCTGGGACCACGTACGAACAAGAGCGGAACCGTCGATCCGCCGAGGCACGGACCAAGAGCACAGCTCGCCGATGCATCCACGGCTACCTCCAGAGAATGCTGCGACTCAAGCTCCGAAACGAGCGAGTTCCAGAGCGACTGCCAGGACGACGAAGAAATAGCTTTAGCCATGCAGGCCGCGGAGATAGCCAATCGCAACAAGATCAGAGCAAAGTTCAGGTCTTCCGAAGATCTAGTGCACAGATTGTTCGTTTGCATAGCTGGTGTGGCCGATCAACTTCAAACGAACTTCGCCTCGGACTTGCGAAATATTCTCAAGTGTGTTTTCTTGATGAATAGCAGCCAAGCTGCTAACGAAGAAGAGGAGCAGGAGAAGACGGACAGCGAATCGCCTAACACGCCGGTAACTGCTGACCCTCCGACTAATTTCGATAGTACCCCTACTACCGAGCGACAAGATTCCGCCGAAGAAGACGAGTCAGATGAGCCAGAGTCCAACGAAGAACCGAGTGAGTATTCAAATCGATCGAACTTGAAAAATGTACGCGTGAGCACGTGAACTGATGTTGTGTGTGCAAATTTCAGGTTCTCCGTTGACGGAACGAGGCGAAGAATGCGTGGAACGAGCACCCGTGTGGGTGCCAGACAGTGTAGCGCCTCGTTGCATGGCCTGCCAAGCAGGTTTTACCGTCGTCAGACGGCGTCATCACTGTAGAAATTGTGGAAAAGTCTTCTGCGGCCGTTGCAGCGGTAACAGCGTACCTTTGCCGCGCTTCGGACACACCAAGCCCGTACGCGTGTGCAATCGATGCTTTCTCTATCAAGTCACACCCTTCACCGTCACTCAAATGGCCTCGACCAGCTGAAGACCAACTCTTCAGGGCGACGAGCTAACCGGCGAATAACTCAATTTTTTTACGTAACCTCGTAAAGTTATTACATCTAGAAAACACGACGCAACAAACCATTACTTGTGCAATTATTATTTTCCGTAAGAAAGTTAACTAGGTGACAATTGCTATATGCTTGTCGTTTGCATAGACCCTCGTATATTCTTCAGCGAAATTCGTAAACGCTATTCGATGTACAAAATTAAAATAGCGCGATTGATTTTCCACTTATTTTATTATTAACATATTCCGATAATATCAGCTTGAGTGAGCTCGGACGTTCAATAATGCGAGTCTTATCTTGAGTAAACGTCGAGAATATTCTGACATATCGAAAAAAAACCTTCATGTGTAGAATATAAAAATTACGCGAGTGAAAGACAAACGGCACTGCTATACATTGAGCGTTATTAATGTTTTTTGTTTTATTCTCGTAATGTTAAAATATACCAATGGTAAAAATAACGTTATCATCTGTGTAAATGATGTATATAAGACGAAACAACAGATTTAGCTAAGCATAAAGTACAACTGCCTGCGCTGAATATTCCTTGGCAACTTTTTTTGTTGATATACCTATCATACTCTTAGATAAATGTTGTATCTTGAATATATTAGCTACTGCGTATTATGCTCACTTGATGAAAGAAAACTCGCGTGCCAAATTAAGCAGACAATAAACGTTTCAACTAACTGAATCTAATTTTTCATCAAAACTTTACGATACAATAACTATGTGAACCAAGGAATATTCCCCTTAGTACTCGTGCATTTTGGACTTGAAAGACTGTACTCAAACATATTGTATCTAGATTTTAAAAGTATTATAGAATTATGTCGTTTATTGTTACGTATAATCGACAAACGGTCTCGGAAACGCACGATTATTATAAACCCTTGTGAGAACGCTTTTTAATAAATTCACTTTTGTAATTGACAATCTTTTAAATCTGCCGTGGAAATTTTTAAATAATTACAGTACATTCTTTACCACATTCAAAATGATTTAGAATAATTTTTTCAGTTGTATCAATCAATTGAATAACTTTATTTATAAATATTCAATCATCCGAAATCTTCATTTACATTCCGTCTACTCGCTACAAATGATTTTATATAAATATTTCATATTTAATACTTATACACTGACTGCAAAGCCTGCGAATTTACTATCAGTGGCCTATGCTGTAATGATTAATTTAATTTGTGCTAATTCTACGCTACAACACAATTATTTTTTTTCTTCGTTTTTTTTCTTTTTTACAAAAATTACAAGCACACACAATTAATCTAATAATGCTTTTATCGGTCTGGTTTAAGACTATATCTAAGATATTGACCAATCCTAATTGTAAGTTTTTGAAGTATTATCTCCGAGTGAAAATTGTTTTTTAAAAACGTGTGTTGTATTGGTTTTTATAATGGCACATCTCTAGTTACAACTTTAAAAAACGCGCTACTAAGACGTTAAGAATGGATACTTTCAAATATTGTAAATACTACCTATACAGATCAAAATTCATTTGCCTCTCACATCTGTAAACAACAAAGTAACGGGAAAATATTTGATCCATTTTGCATTTGCACTTATATTTTTGCAAAATATTTGTTGTAATATGAATCGTTCAGTGGATTCGTACTGCTATTACTAAAAAAATTTTAAAGAGCTTCAAAAATACCAGAATGGGATTCAAAATACATTACACGTTGCCTTTGCTGTCTGTTATTGAAATATTATTTTGATGAGACACTGTATATAATACAGGTTACACGATAATCCATGTATAAACTGTCATTTAAATATGAATGACCAAAAATTGTAAGAAGTAAAAAATATTACTGGAAAGCTCTAATGTTTCACACTATATTGTAATCTAAATGTGTTAAATAACACTCGAACGTAATCATAGCACACATGCTCATGCATTAATTTTATGATAGAACAGAAGAGTCACACTATCAAATGTGCGTTGGAAAAATGAAATACAGAGTGTGTACAAAAATAATCCGGACATGTGTGCATTGAGAATTAACAATTTTTTTAATCGCAAAAATATGCAGGTGAACGATAATTAATGTAAATAAAAGTTTGTTATTTGAAACTCGAGTCGTTAAATTTTTTCATCTTCCTTTATAATGTAACAGCCCTTTTATTATGATTTACTTTTTTCTTGTAACTTTTAGACCCATCTGTCGTATAAAACTTTCACGAAAGTGTTTCTGAAATAAGATTATAATCCTGAACAATGTTTGTATGTACACGTGAGTAATCGTGTATGCAAATCTTTTTTTCAAAATAGATGAGTCAGTCTCAATTGATCCAGATGCTCTTTCTGTTAATTTTCATGATGATACGTCACAACAATTTTTTTCAACTATCGTGTAATTTCATTTGTTTGTTTTATTTTTCGTTTCTTTTTTTAAATTCGATTTTGTCTTAAATTGTTAGAAGTGATTTGTCGATTCGAATATTTACGTAAAAAGTATAAAAAGTGTAATTTCCAAATTTCCGTTCAATGAATTATCTCGAAGTGGAAACGTTGTTATAATTTTGACTAGTTTATTTTTGAAAAAAAAACTTTTAGTCTAAATGTTCAAGTAAAAGCTATACTTGTCAATGAATTTGCAGTGGTCTTTTTCATGAATTTTGTTTTGTCCCATGAAGAGGTTATAATTTCAACACAATTTTTCATGATATTGTCGAGTACTTGAGTTAAGTATTGATTACTGGATAAGAGCTCATCATCGTGCACGGTTGTCATGGAAGTACGTCAACATCGGAGCACGCACGAATTTCGACGCATGGCATAACTATGCACCGCAGGGAGAAAATTTCTTGACATACAGCAGGTGTACACGTCCCACGGGGTCGTCGGCAAAATTTCAACGTTCCTTATAGTGCTATTTTAACAAATAAACAGCAATCATGATGGATATGGAAATGAACGCCGATTTGGAGAGGGTAAAAACAAATAGAAATTCGTTATGATCGTTAAGTAAAATTTATATTCATCGACAGGATGGAGCAACTGATTCGGGGGAGGCATCGACTACGGGAAGCTCGGCCGGAACGATTTATTGTAAATTGGAAGATGATTTCGCTAAGGTACATGTGACTATCACTGTCTTCTTCTAGCAAATTGCAAAAAATGTGTTTTTATTTCATAGGTAACGAACGAAATGAAAATCAATGATTCATTGGCAGAATACAGAGACGAGTACGTCCGACTGTTTGAAGCATATTACGAGGCGCAGCGAGTTATAGAACAACTGACCGAAAAATGCTCGACCCTTCAAGTAACTTTGACAGACATGTTTGCCTCTTCATGCAGAATTCTCAAAGTAACAAGTTGCACTCGTTGCAGGATGAATTGACGGGGCAAAAAAACACCGTATCGGAGTTCGAGAGGACGTTCCAGTTGAACGAGGAGAGTCTCGAGAAATTGAAAAAAGAAATCGACGAGAGCAAAAAGTTGGCCGACGCCGCTCACGACCGCGAACAGCGCGCGCGAGAAACCATCGGCAATCTGCGATTTTCCATCGACAAATTAACCGACGAGTTGGAACAAAAAAATAAGCAGCTCGCCAACGAAGAGAGGTAATCGGCTCTTTTTATCGATTCGATTGGTCGTTGACTGTTTGGGAAATAATTTGCAGCAATGCCGGAGCGAGCAAGCAAAAGGACAATTTGGCAAAAGAGCGGGAGCGGCTACTCAGCGAAAACCAAGCGCTGAAGCAGAGGCTCAAGACCTTGGCCCAGAACAGCGAAGAAAATCATCAGAAGCTCATCGAGACCGAGAAACAAATGGCCGATCTGCAAGAGAAATTCGATCGTCAGACCAACGAGTTGTCTCGAGAGCGTCGAGAAAAGGAGAAAGTCAGCTCGGACTTTTTCGACTGTCTCGACGAGCTGAAAATGCGAATGATGGATCTTCAGGTATGCTTGGCTGCTGCCAAAAATTACTATGAATCGTTTTGAATCGTTCGGACGATGATGTGGCATTATTGGGCGAAGACACTCGAGGATACCCTGAAAACGAGCACGGACAACGCCAAGAAGCAGGAACAGCTGCTGAAGGACGAGGTGCAGGAAAACGAGCACCTGCAAAAGGAGATCCAGCGCATGATGCTGAAGCAGCTGGCCACCAAGACCGAAGCCGATCGGCTGAAGACGAGGCTGGACGCCAGTCGCAAGCAGCTCCACGACAACGACAAAGTGATGAACGATCTGCAGCGCGAGTGCAATCGTTTCCGCGAGGAGTGGGGCAAAATGAAGGCCGAGAAGGACAACGCGTTCAAGAAACTGGCCAAAGTCTCGAGCTCGGCCACCGAGGCCGAGGAGAACGTCAAGAGGCTCCAGCAGACGGTGCGCCGCAGCGAGCTGGAGATCCAGCAGTTGCTGCGCCAGCTGGAGCTCGAGCGCAAGAGCGTGGAAAAGGTCGGCCGAGAGCGAGACTTGGCCCTGCAGAACGTGACGAGCCTCGAGGAGAACAACCGTAACCTCAGCCAGGAGCTGGCCGTGATGGAGCAAACGACGAGGAAGATGCAGCAGAGCCTCGAGGAGGCCGAGAACTCGGCCCTCGAGACGAGTCGCCAGATGAAGAGCCTGGAGAACGAGCGCGATCGGGGCCTGCTGCAGGCCAAGAAGCTCACCGACCAGCTCGAGGACCTCGAGGAGGAGCTCAAGCTCAAGCAGATGGAGATCGGCGATCAGCAGAAGCAGCTGGCCGAGGCCGAGGCCCGACTGCGCAAAAATGCCGCCGCGCTCGAGGAGGTGCGGGCCGAGCGCAACGCCTACAAGAAGAACCTCTCGCTCACGCAGGACGAGCTCGGCGACACCAAGGACAAGCTCAAGGAGAGCCACGTCCTCCTCGAGCAGGCCAAGGAGGAGCTCAACGCCAAGGAAGCCGAGCTCGCCAAACAGGAGTTCAGTGAGTCGCGAGCGATTCTCGCTTCCACGGGGCTTAACGACTCTTCTATATTATTTCTCTTGCAGTGCTCGGCAAGACGGAGAAGGAAAAGGAGTCGCTCAAGACCGAGCTGGCCAACAACAAGAAGTACATCTCGAAGCTGAGGCACGAGATGGCCGAGCTGCAGCGGGAGCAGAAGCGACTGAGCCTCGGCCTGCAGGAGGCCGACGCGACCATCGAGCGCCAGAAGAAGGACATCGAGTCGATAATGTGCGAGCGCGACGTCATCGGCACGCAGATCGTCCGGCGCAACGACGAGCTCGCGCTCCAGTCCAACAAGCTGCAGAGCCTCCAGGACATCATGGCCAAGGCCGAGAAGCAGTACTCGCTGCGCCTCGACGAGATCCGCATGCTCAAGCTCGAGCTCAAGAAGCTCAAGCTCGACAAGGCGGCGCTCGAGAAGAACACGGCCAATCTGGCCGATCTTCGCGGCGAGATGTTCAATCTCGAGCGGAGGCTCACCAAGGAACGCCTCAAGGTCACCGCCCTCGAGGAAGAGGTGCAGAATCCTCTCAACGTTCATCGCTGGCGCAAACTCGAGGTGAGCCTTCGCTCCGTACTTCCAAAACTTGTACCAGTCCCAAAATTAATCCATCTATCCCCCGTTCGTCCATTCAAGGGTACGGACCCGGAATCTTACGACCTCATGAAAAAAGTCCAGCTGCTGCAGAAGAGAATCCTCAAAATGTCCTCGGAAATGATCGACAAGGACAAAAAAATCAAGGAGCTTGAAAAGATGTACGTAAATCTACGAGAGGTCTTGTCGAAGCAACCTGGACCAGACGTTATGATTCGTCTGAGCAAAACTCGAGGTGCCCTCAGAACTCGTGCTAAAAAGATGAAGGTGAGTTACGACGTGGCTAGCCGTCGACGGGCCTCGATAATGAATTCAACGTTTTTCTGCACGCAGTGTTTGATGGCCGAGTTGAACATGACGAGGACGGCCGATCACAAGTTCGAGCTCGATAAAATCAAGAGCGAGCTCAACGGCTTGAAAGCCAAGTGCTTGGCCCAGAAAAAGCGAAATTCCAAGGCCAATCAGGAGCTGGCCAAGGAAAACGTCCATCCTGCGGCAGCCGACGATCCGTCGCTGCAGAGAGCCCAGGACGAGGCCGCGGGACGTCACGGCGACGGCGACGGCGCGGCTTTCGCCTTGGCCAATCCCAAGGTCACGGCGCTCATGCCGGTCAATCAATAAAATCAACTTTCAATCTATGTTCGATCGATTATTTTTCATTCGCTTTCGCTACCCCGCTTTGATGTATCCGATGATTGAGCGTCGAGTTTTAATGAGGCAATAAATATGATAGTCCCGGGCCGGAGTGCTTTTCCCAGCCCCTCGCTCGAGCTCGCTATTCAGTTTATCGAGATGCTGCGAGCCTGTGCATTTTTCTTTCTCCTCGTCGGCTCGGAAGCTCGAAGGGATCTGTTTCTCAAAAAAGACGTGTTCAGATCGTCTCTCGCCGAGCAGAATCGCACGTCCAGTTTGGCTAATTTGCTGCGCCATCTGATCGACGCGTACTTCGACCACTGCACGCTCAAAGTCGTTTACGATTCCAACTACGAAATCATTCACCCGGTCGATTTCCATCGGTACTTTGGCGGTCTGAAATTGAGCGTCGTTCAGGACAGCGTCGACATCTCGCGCGGCGTCGGAACCAAAAACGACCGTTCCGACAAATGCATGAACTACGTGATTTTTCTGTACAACATTTACGCCGTGACGCACATACTTAGCCAGGAGAACGAGGCCAAAATCGTGATCGTGTCCTCGGAGAGTCCTTGGGAAGTCAAAGATTTTCTCCGCAATCAAGCCTCGAGGATTTACAAAAATTTGCTCGTCATAGCCCACAGCACCAGTCGTAAAAACGGTGTAAGATGATTCATTAACAGTTGGTTGTATAGGTCTCTATTTCCCTCACTCGATCGAACGTTTTCGTTGACTACCGTTGTAGTATGGATCTTATTTACTGTACACGCACAAGTTATACGCCGAGGGTAGTGGCACGACTTTACCCATTCTGCTTGGCTCCTGGATAAATAACAGCATGACGGTCCAAGGGCTGGATTTGTTTCCGGAGAAACTCGGGACTGGATTCATGGGCCATCGGATTCTCGTGTCGGCCGTGCACAATCCGCCATTCGCCATCAGCAGGTATCGTATTTCGTTGTCCCTTTTTTTTCGTTGCGACGGAATTCGGTGTCGTTGAAATTGGCCGATGAAAATTGCGTCGTTGTATTTACTATCCGAGGAACTCCCCCGGAGCCGAAGACTCCCTTTGGGACGGACTCGAGGTGAATCTGCTGAGGATGATGGCCAACTACCTGAACTTGACGATGGAGTTTTCGAGTCCGCGCTCGAGCGACGGCCTCAGTCCACTGGAGTCGGTGAAGCAAGACCTGCTGCTCGGGACGACCTCGTCGGCGGTCGGGGGCATCTACCAGACGGCCCAGCTGCACGAGCAGTTCGACACGAGCATGCCGTTCCTCGACGACTGCGCCTCCTTCATCTCGCTGGCCTCGACCGCCCTGCCCAAGTGAGTCCAACAGTGACCTTTGTTAGGCTTTTTGTCGAGAGCGATGCCGACGAAAAGGGACGACTGCTGCCGACAGGTACCGGGCGATGCTGGGCCCCTTCCAGCTGACGGTGTGGCTGATGCTGTGCGCCTCCTACCTGGCCCTCATCGTGCCGCTCTCCTTCAACAGTAAATACACTCGGCGGCAGCTGCTGAGGCAGCCGAGCGCCGTCAACAGCATATTCTGGTACATATTCAGCACGTACACCAACTCGTTCACCGTCGAGAATCCATTGCTGGACTACGGCATCGCCAAGAACTCGACGACGCTCCTGCTGGGTAAGATGATAATTGGCCCGATCGTCGACATATGCTTACGAGAGAATGGTGTCAGCTATCTACTGGCTGTTCACGATCATCGTGACGGCCTGCTACACGGGCTCGATCGTGGCGTTCATCACGCTGCCGGTCTACCCGGAGGCCATCGAGACGGCGGCCGAGCTGCAGGCCTATACCGCTACCGGATCGGCACCCTCGACCACGACGGCTGGGAGCAGTGGTTCGGCGCGGAGAGCGGCCACGACGAGCCCTTCCTCGAGAGGCTCTTCAGGAAGATCGAGTACGTGCCGAGCTTGATGGAGGGCGTGCGCAACGCCAGCCGGGCCTACTTCTGGCCGTACGCCTTCCTGGGCTCGCGGGCCGCCCTCGACTACCTCGTCCAGACGGACTTTGCCCTGGCCCGCCAGAGCAAGCGCAGCCTCATGCACATCAGCCAGGAGTGCTTCGTGCGCTACAACGTCGTGCAGCTCTTCCCGCGCAAGTCCCTCTACACGCGCTACGTCGACGGCTTCGTCCTACTGGCCCAGCAGTCGGGCTTGGTCGATCGCATGAGGAGCCAAGTCGACTGGCAGGTCCAACGAGCTGCCATCAACGACAACAAACAGGTTTCTTTTTTTTTTGGTAATTTCATTCTCCTCCTTGATACTTTTCACTCGAACGACGACGCCACCCGCGCACAGATCATCAAGAAGATGTCGCGCAAGATCATGGTCGAAGACAGAGTCTTGATGGTCGAGGACACCCAGGGCATGTTCATGGTCCTTCTGGCCGGTGTGCTGGCGGGCTTGCTGTCCCTCGGCATCGAGGCGATCACGGTTCGTCTCAAAAAGCGCGCCAGAGTCCAGGCGGTGGCGACTCCTTCGCCCGAACCATCCAGCTTGGCTGATTCTTGCCTCGTGCACGACGAGTATTACGCTCGTTTGCGAAGCCGATTCTTCAGGAGCAGCATTTGAGCTGAGACGCATTGCGCATCCTTTGTTCGCTTCATTATTAGAAAAGAAGATATTAAGATAAGAACAATTTAAAACGTGATGATTTTTGAAAAAAAAAACACACTGTTAGTGGATTTACATTATTTTACTGACTGCATCATTGTTTCACAAACATTTTCAGTTCAACTAGTCTTTTACACAGATTAAAATTATCGTGACAGAATCATTTTATAATCAAAAAACTATAAAAAAACAACAAAGTCGATACAAGCTTGATTCCCTAAATAACGAATAAACTTTTTTCGTTTTTCCTTTTCGGCACATTTATATATTATTTGTATTATGATAATGATAGTTATTTATAACTGCCAGTCAAATGTGCAAGGAGCGAACGTTAAAATATCGCGTGAAATAGCAAGAATTAAAAATAAAAAAAAATTGAACAAAAGAAAGCAGGAGAAGCAACAGTGAGCGAGACAACCTCAAAGCCAAAGTCGAATTAGTTAAAGAAAATAAGCATGGCTGGGATCCCTCGGAAAATACTTAAAATGAGATGCTGTGCATGGAGGCGAGCAGAGTTTCTCGCTTTGAGCTTCGTTCCGGCAGGCCGTAAGCGAGCTTCGTTCGTGCCGCGCTAAGCGCATCAGGAGAAAAACGGGAAAACTTTGTTCGCAGGTATAAGTAGGCTGTACCACGGCGACATGCGCGTGCCGGATTTCGACGATTATCGCAAGGAGTCGACCAAGTGCCCCGAGAGACGGAACAGAGACACCGCCGACGATCGCAAGCTCGAGGCTTACGCACCAACTTTCGGTACGTACGGCGGCAAAGCTTTGCGCCTCGCGCCCAATTTACGCGTCGCAAATTCGTTGCAGTTGCGAGCGTGGCCGGAGTCTACGCGGCCAAGACCGTCGTTACGCAGCTGCTCTCGTCGATGGCCGCCTCGAAGGACGTCCTCGCCGCCGCCAAGACCGAGGTCGATCTTTCCAACATTCCCGAGGGCAAGGTCCAGGTGATCAAGTGGCAGGGAAGGCCCGTGTTCGTCTACCACCGGTAAGCTAGCTCCGATTGGCCCGATCGGCCACCATCCGAAAGTCATGTGTGCTACTCTCTGCGGGGCGCAGAAGTCAGGAGCTGATCGATCAGGAACGAGCGATGGACGTCGGCCAGCTGAGGGACCCCCAACCCGACGAGGCTCGCTCCCAGCGGCCCGATTGGGTCATCCTCATCGGCATTTGCACGCACCTCGGCTGCGTGCCCATACCCAATGCCGGCTCGGTACCCGGCGGCTTTTTCTGCCCCTGTCACGGATCGCACTTCGACACGGCGGGCCGAGTGCGCAAGGGGCCTGCCCCCAAGAACCTCGAGATACCACCCTACGAGTTCACCGACGACACCAGCCTCGTTATCGGATGATTTTTTCTACCTGTCGCTAGTTCCTTTTCATTTTCAATGGACGTGTTGTTCAATTAATAGGCCAATTGTTCAGCGAGTAGCTATTGTTTAATTCTTATTAAAATGATACCTTTACATCCAACTAATTTTCATCATCAAGTGGAAGTAAATATTTTCACAAAAATGTAGATGCCAACAGTTGATCATGTTCCTCTACAAAATTAGAAAATTTATCTTTAAATGATTTGAATAATAACAAAAATGTATCAATATTTAAAGTTTTTACTTATACCCAAAAGCTTTCTTCCTTCTGTTGTAGCTTATTTTGAGGTCAATAATTACAACACTTTTATAACATCAGTAGTTACCAAAATATTAAAAAGAAGATACCATTTAATGACTATCAAATAGTTTTAGACTGATAAACATATTTAATAGAATTATACAAATTATATTAATATTGTGAAACAATAAAAAAAAAATTTTTGGTTCAATACAAACGATATTTTTATTTACAAAGATTTATTCATACAAATATATTACCAAAAAATTGTTTTTGTGCTTCTAAAGCTAATTTTGAACATTACATCAACTTCATTTACATTATACGTGAGCTGCCTGGTGCAAAAAGTTTAACTTCCCGATCATGTAATTTATACAGATATGTCATTTCTTCTGACCATTTAAACCTTAATCTTTCACTTTCAGATTTCCAATAAACAGCAAGTTTCCCAGATATTTCTCTTGACTGTCCAGTTTCTAATGGACGCACAACAATGACAAGATCAGCGGAATGCTTCAATACATTAGCTATTATGTTTGTCTCACAAAATTCAAGTGAGGAATCAAAAACATGACTGGTAACACAGAGAGTTAAAAGTGGTTCGTCGTTAATAAATGACCTTATACACCTTATAAAGTACCAAATATCTTGAACGTTCAATCCTACATCAAACAAATGACTCAAATCATCAATGATTAAATATACTTTTTGTTCTGACATCTCTTTAGCTTTAGATATACATTCATCTTTAATAATTTGCACCAGTTGATTCACCAGATGCGTACTTTTATTAGTAATATCAAATTCAAGATTTTCTTTGATATTATCAGAATTTTGAAGGTGAATATTTTTAGATATTACTTTCAAAGGCTCAATAACATTGACAGTATTATTGAGATCTTTTTTCAAATTGTAACCCAACTTCATTCCAACATTATGAAAATGACCAAAGGTATTGTGAAATAAAACCAGGTTCAGCATATGATTTTTTTCTTTACAGTGAGCTATAATTGCTTGTAAAACAAAGTTAGCATCAGACTGGTGATGTTCTTCTATGAAAATTAAACTACCGCTTGTAGTGGCTTTATTAATTCCTATGGCTTCTCGTATTTCTTCCATGGTAAAATAATTGTCAATAAACAAGATTAACACAGATGATAGTGAATTTTAATCGTGATACACTCACGAACTTTGAAGTTCGCCACCCACGTGTTTCTATCAATTCTGCTGTTGTATCTTATGATATTTCAACTATCCACTGAATAACTGCAGGCAGTAGGCACACGCGTACCTACTATGCTATGATGACTATGCTGACTGCTGTTAACTGTACACATTACCAGCCTCCGGACCAGGCCACACAACCAACCTTTAATACAGACGTACCTTCATCAGAGCGACTCATTCCATCCTTGTTCCACGCATTCTGCAATCTGCACACGTCATTCGACAAATCGCCACACGAGTTCACTACCACACTAGCGACGTTTTCATCGGCGTTCCGGCGGCATTTCGTAGCTCTGCACGAGCTGCAGTTTTACTGACGGATTGTTTAATTATTTTTTGCCCTTCTAAGTCGTATAACAACTTCGACAATCATGGCCAAGTTCGATTTAACAAGCCTTATTGGTTTGTACCTTGATCGGCATCTTATCCTGCCTCTTTTTGAGTTCCTCAGTGCGAAAAATGTAAGCAGTAAAACACACCCATCTACTTGGTTATTTTGAACATGTGGACAGAATTTTTGGTTAACATAGTTAACTGCCACCACAATTTTTAAATAATTAAAATTAAAATGAAGCGATAACATTTTTTTTACTAACTTATTGATAATGAAACATTGTTTAACTGGTCATTGTTAACATTTAATATTTTTCTTTCAACAGAATTTTGATGAAAATGAGCTGCTTCAAGCTAAGCTTGATACGCTTAGTAAGACCAACATGATAGATTACTTGATTGATGTTAAAAAGCAAGTATATCCTGATATTGATGTGCCAGAGGTATGTATTTAGTTTCTTGAAAGCTTTACTTTGCACCATGCTACAATATCATTTTTTTGTGCACAGGAGATGAAAGCTCGAAGACAGGAGATTTTAACTGAATTACAACGCTTACAAGAAAAAAATAAAACTGTTCTTCAACTGATTAATGATGAAAAATTAATGAAAAAAATGGAAAGCATGCGAGATTCAAAGACTCTGATTAAATTTCTGTCTGAAGAAGCAGATGTAAGTTCTTTTAATACTAATTTTAGTTTATTTTTAATAATTTTACTTCTTATTTTAGTTCCGGATAGAAATGATGGATGATCACGTAAAACTTGCAAAATACACTTATGAGTGTGGAAATTATCAAGTATCTAGCTCATATTTGTACTTTTACATGTTGGTTTTCCCAACTTCAGATAAGGTTTGTGCAAATCAAATTATAATAGGAAATTTAAGCAACATCATCATTAATCTTTAAATCTTTTTCTAGAATTATTTGAATGCTCTATGGGGAAAATTAGCCTCTGAAATTCTTACACAAGAATGGGATACTGCTCTTGAAGACATCAACAAAGTCAGAGAGTACATTGATAACATGGGAAATAGTAATCCTCCACAAGTTTTGCAACAAAGAACTTGGTTAATTCATTGGAGTCTTTTTGTTTTTTTCAATCATATTAAAGGCAGAGACATGATTATTGACATGTTATTGTACCGACCTCAGTAAGTTGCTAATATAATTAGAAGTTTAAGTAAATGAAAAGTGCTTCGGTTGTAATTATCAAATCTAATTTCATTTCAGCTACTTGAATGCTATTCAAACATCTTGCCCACATGTTCTTCGATACCTGGCAGCTGCAGTTATTGTAAACCGTTCTCGAAGATCAGCTTTGAAAGACCTTGTTAAAGTCATTCAACAAGAATCATACACTTATAAAGATCCCATCACTGAGTTTTTGGAACATTTGTACGTTAATTTTGATTTCGATGGTGCAAGACAGAAGTTGCAGGAATGTCAAATTGTTTTGTGTAACGATTTCTTCCTCATTGCTTTACTAAATGAATTTGTAGAGAATGCAAGACTTATGATTTTTGAGACTTTCTGTCGTATCCATCAATGCATAAGTATCCAGTAAGTATAGATAATTTTTCAGAGCAAATTTACTTGAACCAGGCTCAGTTTTAAATGTTTCTTTTTCCTATAAGGATGCTTGCAGAAAAATTGAATATGGAAGTTGATCTTGCTGAGTGCTGGATTGTGAATTTAATTCGTAATGCCAGACTTGATGCAAAAATAGACAGTAAGTTAGGACACGTAGTTATGGGTGGACAGCCAGCATCACCTTATCAACAACTTGTTGAAAAAATCGAAACTTTAAGTGTAAGAAGCGAAGCCTTAGAAAATTTAATTGAACGCAAAGTTAAAGCAAAAACTCAAGATACAAACGCAGTGAACTGGAATTATAATTAAGGTAAATATATAATTGTATGATTAGAATAAAATCTCAATTTTTTTTTAATCCTGAGCATTCATTTTTTTTGTTTCAGTGTTGCTGCTTTTTGAAATTTTGCAATATTTAGCCCAGGCTACGTCTTTTTACATAATCTGTTTTAAATTTGTGTACATTATCATTTATTTAATCACTCAAAAGTGGTCAACATAAGTGATTTCTTCAGTATAAAAAATAATAAAGAGACTTCAAGTGTATAAAAATATTAATTGTTTTATATCATTCATTTATAATTACAAATTATACATGTAAACTTCCAAGGACTTTTTAACTATTATCCATTATCTATCATTCATGACAGTGAATAAACTTAAGATCAAACATTCATTCAATACAATATAATTCAAAATCTTAATTTTACCCGGAAGTACATTTTACAAACATAAGGTTTTGATTAAACTACAGTATCAATCATCTCTAGTGCTTTATTTTTGTTAATAGAGGTATTGGTAAAAAGTTCTTGACTAATTGCTGCTCCTGTGTAGTTGATCAATATGCCTGTTTGTAAGGAAAAATATCAATCATCAATCTGAAGTGAAATATTAAATTATTTTTGTATAAAAGAAGAAAATGAAGATACCGGTCGATGGGCTGATACTTCCACTCTGTTGATTTTAAATAATCTAGTTCTTTCCTTAAATTTTGAACTCTTTTTTGATGCAGCTCATTGTTGATGTGTTTGTGATGTCTGTCAACAACTAATTCAGCTTTGATTCTGTTCATAAATTTAACTGTACTTGATGGCTTTTCAGAAGATTCAGAATCTTCCATTCTTTGATTATTAGTTGAAGTCAAATTTGGCGTGAGTCCAGACGAATTCATACTGCTTTTTTCCTTTTGTTTTGTTTTTTACAATCGATTCAACTTTTGCATGCACCTCACTTCAGTTTAGGACAAAAATTATTCACGGTCGTTACGGTACTAAAAAATAGTAAAAACTTTTAACTAAATTTGATGTTAACTATGCAATAAGAGATATTAAAAAGTACATGCTATCAAAAAATCATAAATAAAATTTATTTTCGGCTTTCATTGACGCGAGCAAACGTAACCTATTAAATGTAAACAGTATTATTTCTATTTTCTACAATTGATTTTGATTTGAATTCAAACAGATTCTAAAACTTAGTGATCTTTCAACAGATTAAAATTGAAAATTTATCCAAAACTCTGACCTTGAAAAAAAAATGAAAAAATCAACGGGAAGTGGAAATAAAGGCAAAAATCGAAATAAAAAAGAACCAAAAGCTCCTAACAAGAAACCTTACGGATTTTGTTGCGATGAAAAACGTGACCCACAACTTCCTCAACCTCCGAGCGATCCTACTCTTGATACTGTTATTCTCGATGCTGCTGGGCCAAATTTACGACTGCGGATCGAGGAAAAGGATAAGGTTTATGCTCCACCACCTCGTAAATTAGTGTCAAATCATGCGCGCGGACGAAATGCTACTTAAATTGATGTATAACATAATGAAAGAAAAACAGTTGTAAATAAAAAAAAGACGGAAACTAGAAATCAGTTTTTTACAGAAATTTTATTATCAAAATTCGATTTGCGCAATATATAAAGTCAAAATTGATCTCGTCTTATTATTGTAACATAAATGGCCATAACAATTATAGGTACATTTTATCTCGTGATATACCATTGATATATGTTTAATTCGATGATAGAATTAATTATTTACTTGTACAGATTTTAATACACAAAATCAAGATATATTAACGATCATTTATATTTTATGATTTTATGAAATAAATACAAGTTGGAATTTCTATCAGACTAACGACTTCAAAGTATGAAAAAATTACGTGAGCAATTGACAATTTTTTCATACTTGTTCTCATGATGTTTAATAGAAAATATATTATTTATTCACCTTTTTTGAACATGCACTCAACGAATGAATTTAATGGTAATTAAATATTTAAAAAATAAAACCATTATGGCACTATGGTTAAAAAAAATAAAAATTAATTCGCACCAATTTTTATCAACAACTAAAAAATAAAAATTTTCTTAGTGTTTCAGATCGAGCTATCGCTATTCGTTTTTAATTAAAATTGGTAGATTTATCATAGTTACCGTTTTACTCTTTGGCAGTAACCTTTCGATATTATTATTAATAGCACTTATTTATCTACAACAGTCGAAGGCTTCTTTTACTCGAAAAGGTTTCTTGCGAAAAAAATGATTAATTTATAAAACTCAACAATTCGCGTTTAATCATTGAAACCTCTCATGGAGTATTTTTCGAAGACTTTGCAATATTTCTCGCTACTATTTTAATAGAACTATGAAATTAGAAAAAAAAATTACATACATATGAAAAATAAGTAGTCTCTTAATATCTACTACTTTTGGATGTAACAATGATTTTTATCAAGTAGAATGGGGAAAACATTATGAAAATCTCTCATTAATTTAACAATAAAGCAAATCAAAATTTGGAATGAATGCCATGATAAGAAAATAAGATCTAGGCTTAACTAAGAATTTTCATACTTTTTTGGGGACGAACAACGGATGAAGCAAAATTTTCCGAATAAAAATTTTCGGAATCGTCTTAAATTAAAACTATTTCGAAGTCTCCACCTGTCAAACAGATAGAGAGATTGGTCTTTTTTCGTGAATAATTGGAGATCGAACATTAAGGCTTGGAATAATGAGCATTAATAGACGAATTTTGACTGGTGAATGGGCCATCATTACCAATTATTGATGTTTCAATAGAAGCTAAGCTGCTGCTTGCAGTTCCAGAATCTCCGTGTGATGATGATTGATCTTCAATTGGATAATGTTCGATCTCCTTTACCGATAGGCTCTGATTTATAGATCCTGGAAGAATTTCATTTTTATTAAAGGTTCTTTTATTAATGCTATTTGTAAATGAACTTTCGACTGATTCTTCGAAAATTTATTTGCATTTTTGATACTTTTGACTTACCCCTAACGCAATCGGATTTAGTTCACTGTCAACAGTTTGTTGATCTGCGCCTGAGTGAAAAGCACTATCAATGGATGTATTCGATGACGCTTTCGCTTGACTTTCAATCAACAAGTCAACAACGTCACGGTGATTGCATGTGTAAAGCGTTATGAGAAGTGGCTGCTCTTGATCGCTAGGTTTGTCACTTAGGTACTTATAGTCAAATTCAGCATTTCCATCATTAGCCAACACTTTTAATTTTTCTTGCGCTGATTTAGAATCGATGTTATTGGGTAGCTTCAGACTACAAAATTGTGCAAGAGGCGGTAAATTTTTAAGTTCATCGGGTAGTTCACGTAAATCCTCTTTAGTAACTTTAGAAAAGTTTCCATAATCTATGAAAAATACCGATATACATTTCGGATTACACAAAGATACTTTTCCTCTGTACCACTGATTATCTACATGATATTTAGCCGCTAAAATTTGACCCACTTCAATTTTTTCAACAGGCTTAAATTCAGAAGCATGCATCATCTTTTCCCTCATAATTCCTTCGTCTTCATAAATTCGTCTATCGTGAATATAGAAAGCTGAAGGTGTAATCAAATAACTTATAGCACAAACTCCTGATTGATCATGGCCAATTGGTGATGGTCTAGTCTCTAGAATAGAATCTGATTGAATTTCGGACTCATCTAGTTCTTTAACGATTTCATTTTCAACTGGTTCTTCACATAGTTCTAGGAGTTCCAAAGACACATCACGACCATCCATTGTTAACTTAACTACGGATGTTTCACCTTCTTTGAGAATGTGGAGCATAAAAATGGTTGAGCCACTATTAGCCAATTTTTCGAATTTTTCATTTACATCTTTCGGCCAATTCTTCACACCGTCCGGCTTAGCTAACGAACATTTACGCGCAAGTGAGATTTCATTGGCGATATCATGAGGAATTTTACGAACATCCTTGCTAACTCCTGAATTTCCATAATCAATATAATTAACCAAAGTACCGTCATCCGTTTCTTCGATAACTTTGGCTCGATAGTATTGTTCATCCAACGGGAAATGAGCAGCCACCAAAGAGCCTGGTTTTGGATTGATTTCTTTATCAAAAAATGGAGCTGTAAGAAGTCGATCTTCCATAATTTTGAGATTACTCGAGTATTTGTCTTCTTGAAGCCAAAATTCGTCCACAGATTTTACAAAACTGACGAAGGAAGCTTGAGAATCGAGCGGCGTTTCATCTTCTTCTTCTGCCTCTTCTTCTATGGCTGGATTGTGCTGTTCCGGACTAATTACACGTTGAGCTTCATTTTGTTCTATGAGACATTGACAACAACTTCTTTCATCAACAAGTACATCCATTATCACAGGGTGATCATTAGATACAATTATAGCTTTGACGTTTGATTTATCTCTGACTAATCCACGGAAAAACGTGCAGGCCTTGTCGGTGAATTCACCATCGAATGGCAACACATCGAGCTTGCTTTCAATTGCAAAAGGTGCTATGGCCTCCCAGCTATTAGGAAGTTTTTTAATACGATTTTCAGTACCCTCGATAGCATCAGTCATACCAAAGTCGATAAACCGAACAACTTTGAGCTCCGGATGTGGATCAATTACCTCAGCTCGGTACCATAACTGGTCGAGACTATGCTGAACAAGACAGAGTGACTTCATTTCGAGACGTTCAGTGATTAATTCACAGCTATTTGATAATATCTGCAGTTGACTTTGCATAGTTTCAATAGCCTTCAGTTCTTCGTTCCTCTGAATCCAAAAGTGTCCAGGATTATCGATGTGGGATACGTGTATGTCGTACACATTTCCGGGTTGCATTTCATCGACGGTATGCTTTGGTAAAACATTCTCTTCTTGTTCATCCTCTGTTACCGTATAAGACTCGAGCGCTTCGCTAAGTTTTTTTCCTTCAAGATCGACAAAGTCTGCGATCCAACGACGATTAATGTTATGAAGAGTTACTTTAAATTGCTTTCCTAGCATGAGAGGCTCAAGAGCCTTGCATTGGGCACTGCTTTTGCCATGTAAAACGGTTTTTAATGAGACTTCAAGACCTAGCTGATGTATAACATGAAAACGTGCGTCCAGGTAACGCAATTGTTCGATTTGAATATCTTCGATGTTACCGTAATCGACAAGTAAAACAGTAACCGTTTGATCGAATACGTCAATGACTTGAACGCGGTACCAATTGCCGTCGCTACTTAAACCGGCATATAATGTGCCAGGTCTAGGCATCATTGGTGATGTTGCCCCAAGTTGAGAGTAGTAGGCATACATTGAATCGAGCAGTCTCTGCTCTAAATGTGAATCGCTTATTCGTTGAATCCAAATACTCTGTGAGTGGTTGATCCAGGTAACAGTGACTTCATGAGAATTTTCAGTGATAGGTAAAGATGCTATAGGCATGACATTTTCACTTTTTTGATTTTCATACATTTTGATCGTTACGCCACTTTCGTCAAATAGACGCACATCAAGACTGAAAAATAAAAATCATCGTAAGGCAAATTCATATTCGATAAATAATAAACTTTGAGCACTCCAAATTATTCTTATTACCTATTTTCTTTCACTTTTTCAACAACTATTAAAACTGTTTTTCCTAGACAGGATCCACGGAAGGATTCGTCGTTGTCAACTGATTCCGGCACATCGAGAAGTTTGCATTCTACAGCTTGATATTGCATCGAAGTTAACGGCGAGGGCATTTTCATCATCTGTAAGTTATCAAACAATCCATTAAGAATTTAGATAATTTATTGTTTAAAAGGATTTTTCATGTTTTCAATTAGTTATGGAAATCAGTTCACTTATACAAGTAATTAGTTATTAAGCCTAGTATGTTGTTATAGTTTCATTATATTGTTGTTATATTCCAGCATTAGGTTCGGCATTATTTTGAAGTCACACAAATGTATTCTAATTTTTTAACTCACTCTATGTAACGCAATACTTTCAAGTTCCCCAGTATCTATGAATCTAATTATAGATTCAGATTTTGAGTCATCTATTATGACCCCTCGTTTCCATTTTCCCTCACATTCAATAATACAGCCAGAACCAATAAATTTTTCACATTTTAACAGCCTGGACATTTCCTGACATTAACAAATTTACAAGGAAAGTTTGAAAAACTCGAATATTAAATCGTAGCAATCAAATATTATTCTAAAGACATTTTGCACACTTATAAAAATTGTTTGAATGATTCAACCTACCCCTGGATTCACTGTAGACATAAATGTATCAATTCTTGCTTGACACATTTCAGCAGAATACAACTGAATATGAAACTTGCTAACAGATTCAATACTTGAAATTTTTACTAGTAATGTTTGTCCTTCAAGAAGCTTGTAATCCACAGTAGGAAAAGTATTCTTCACGCTATTTTCTAGATAAATTCAAAGTAAAATGGATGATTAATATTTCAGATTTTTCAAATCAAATGTGAAATATGTACTAACTATCTTCCAAATTGAATGATGTTTCGGAACTTTCTGGTACGTGTCTAGCTATTCCTCTTTCAACCAAAATATCAGCAACATCTTTATCATCTGATTGTAAAGAAATGCCGTATTTGTTATTTTTCAAGTAGTGGAAAACAGTGCCAAGTTTTTCTCCATCAAAAAGATCTTCTAAATTTACAGAAGACCAAGAGGTTCCTGTTGCTGGCTTTATTCCCACTAGACAGCATTCAATGGCTTGTTCAGGTAAAGAAGTAAATTTCTTTTCTGCACGATATATCTTATCCAAATGGACGTCAGCTGTATCTCCATAGTCAACAAATTTAACTTTGCAATTTCCGGTCTTATTAGCAGCTGTAACTATGGTTGCGCGGTAGAAAATATCATCGATCGGATTTTGAGCAATAACAGAGTCACCAGCCTAAATATTTTAATATGTATAATTGATAAATATTTTTCATTGACTACAAATATAAATAAATATAAATACCTTTAATGCTTCTCTGTAAGGTTCCTGATCTTGGGGATAGTTTGATTGAAGCTCATCCATCATGGATTTAAAATTTTCTTGATGTTCAAGTAATTGGTAATAAATACTATCTGGACTATCATACCAAGTATACAATAAATCATATTTTTGTTTTAAATCAATTTCAATTTTGCTCCACTTTTGTTCTAGAGGAGCATAATCAAAAGATGCAGTAATTTTTTCACCAAGAACTGTTAATCCAGAGTTTTTGTTACGGAGAATATTTTTTTCTTTAATCAAATCAGCACTCCCAGAAAACAGTTCATTAACCACTTTTTCAGTTTTATTCTCTTTCAAAAGCACTAAATAGTGCCCGTTATCTTCGGAAATAAACTCAGCTTCAAGATTTTTATTTTCAATTGCCCCAACCAAAGCATCTGATTCTTCTGGTGACCAAGTTGATTTACATGGACAAAACAGTTTGCAATGCACAGCTTGAGCTGGAAGCTTCACAATTTCTGGATCTATTTCTTGTAATTTATCAAAACTTACTGCTTCAAAATTTCCGTAATCAACAAAATGAACTGTAGCTGTATTTGAAGAGACAGATTTAATAACTGCTCTGTACCAATTTTTATCTTCTGAGTATTGAGCTACACATTGAGTATCAGGAATAATATTTGCCACTTTTAAATGCTAATGAAAAAAAGTTTGTTTTTAAATGAGTAGATCTTTTTTTATTTTTTAGCAATTGTGATCTATCACATTACCTTTTGCGCATTCTTGTATATATCCGCTATTTTTCGACTGATTGGTGTTAATTCAATGTTATCCGGACAAAGGTGAACATAAAAGTCAGAAGGATCGGTATAATAGATAAGCTCACAGTTTTTAACGGCTCCAACTGTTATGTTAGGAGAAGGAATTTTGAAAATTGGTGTAGATGTCATGCAACGGTCCACTTTCTGTTTCGGTAGAGAATCTTCATCTGTATTCCAATCATTAATGGGTAGTTGGGAGTCTGGATCATGACTGCTTTCACTTTTTTTATCTGAAAAATAATAATAATATGACAAGTCAAATACAATTGAAGTTTTATTAATGTTATGTATGCACTCGCACACAAACCATTGGAGAAGTTATTTTGCTGAATGACTTTTACGTATTTTGCTTTCTCAAAAAGATTTTGATTACTGGATGGAAAAGTACCTTGTTGAATCTCTTCATTACTGCAATTTTGATTGGAAAACCTTCGGTTTTGATTATCCCATGAGTGCTCCGAAATTTTATCTGAACTATTGTCTCTACTTATTGATTGAAATCTGTTTACTTCATTATTGCCTTGGCTGTCATTTCGGAATCGAGTATTGTTTGAACTTTCTACTGAACCAGCTCGACCGCGATTGTTTTGAGTAACGTTAGAAAAGTTAAACCCAGCTTTGGGAAACCGATTATCAGCACGTAGCTCATTTTCGTTATCCTTGCTAAATTTGTTATCATACATTCTTTCAGTAATGGGTCTGTTGTAAGATTGTCCTTGTGGATCTTCTCTATTCCAATTTCCATTTCGATTGCTGCAAAAATAAAATAAATTATTAACACTTTTACCATAACATTTTTTTTTAACTATGCAATGTATATTGTTCTAGTATATGTTGAAACCATAACCTTTTTCATTATTAGTGACAAAAGCTAAGCATTATTTTATTAAAAGATTAAATATTGTCATTAATATTTATGCAATGAATCACAAAGTGCCATTAAACTTTTTAATGTAAATAGTAAATAGCAATTAATCAATATATCAATAAAAGTAAAAACAAAAAAAAAAAATTAAATATAAGCAGAAAAAATTGAGCTTTAAGCGTTGTTTCATTTGTGGGCATGTATCATTTACCATGTTTTTAGATTTTTATTCTTAACAGTCTGCTTTTGAAACCGCAACAATTGCATTTGCTCGTCTTTCCTGAGATTTATCAATTTGATCATTAATTATTAAATATTATCAATTATACTCAAAATATTATTTATAATTTTAAGAATGCTTTACTATCAAACTGGTATTAGGAAATCGTTTATATTAATTAAAGTTTGCCTTACTTTTTAGCTGGAAGTGGTTTGTATTGCAGTTGGTTACTTTTCTCAATATGACGTTTAGTAACTTCATGGGATTTGATGGTTTCAGCAATATTGTTGGTTATTTTATGAGTGACTTTATCAAATTCAAATAAATCAACAATATTAGTATTGTTGGAATTATCTACTAATGACAGTACTAAGCGTTGTTCAAGTGCAATTTTTTCAAAAATTTTTGTCACTTCTCGATTCATAGGTCCTGATAGTAGTCCATTTAAACCACATTTAATAGCTTGTCTTGGGCACATTTTCACCAATTCTGAAGGTATAACTCTCAAGTTATCACAATGGACTATTTCTTCATTTCCAAAATCAACATAAACCACCCTGAATTTATTATCATCTACTCTAGCAAGCATGCATGCTCTATACCTGGAAACAAGATTTGAATTGAAAATGTAGTTAATTAATATTTTATTTTACTTTTTTTTTTTAAAGCATTTTTACCAGACTTTATCAAGATCATATAAAGCCATGCAAGGCATTTTGGCATGTATTTGATCATTTGCTATTCGCTGCGCTGTTTGAGCAGCTTTATCAACTTTAGTCATTACTTCATCCAACAACTGTGCATCTTTATCATATTGTACGTAAAACTTCAATGTTGATTCGATGTAAGGAACAAAAACAGTTACTTTCTGACCATGTTCTAATGGTTTTGGTTCAGGATAATCCACAGTACACAAATCTGGGAAAACACTCATCAATTTATTTTTGACATTTTCTCCATCTACTAATAATTCACAATATTGGATCAACGGTGTCATAGGGCCCTTGCATACTTTGAGTTTCAGTTTCTGATCATAAACTAATCCTGTAAAGTAATCTTTAAGATCTTGAGTCAGAGTCCAATCACTACATCCACTGAGACTAAATCTAATTGAATATACAGTAGGTGTGACAAATTCCTCAGAGATTTGATAAATATCATTAAAGGACAAAACTGCATCAAATCCATAGTCGACAAAATGTACCTGAAATAAGTAGTTTTAAAAATTTTCCATAGAACGATCAAAGAATAAAGTGTAATTTATCAAGATTTTACTTTGCACGTTGTGTCCCCAGGTGAATTCAAGACAACTCTGCAAATTTCTTTAGTTCTAGGTTTAACTCCCAATGCAACTAAACCAGCGATCGGTGGTTCTTGTAAATGAAGATGGTTTTGCGAGTTGATTTTTTTCATCATTGCTTGCAACTGGGGCAAATGATGCGCTAATTGCACAGAAAATTTGGACGGTCCATCGTCTACATGAGAAATTTTTCCATCATGAATTGAGCCAATTTCCAACAAACTAGCTTTGAAGGAATGATTTTTTGTGCTTCGTGAAGAATTTTCAACCGTTATATTTGTTTGGCTCAATTGTCTTGCATTAGTCAAAGTCATGATTGGTGGTAACTTGCAAAATGGGCTGAAATTAAATAACAAATTTAGGAAATTGTTGTGAAAATTGTTGTTTAAAATAGTATAAATATGTAAGTGTGTTATTTTATTGTCACACCTGTACACAGCCATTTGTCTATTCACTAGAGATTCACTAAAATCTTGCCTCAAGAGTTCAAATCTAATAGCTTTGCGAGTATCTACGTTTTGATAAACACCTTCGAATTTATTACCAACAAGAATAGTTTTAATCTGATTAACAACTTGGTCGATCCAAGAACCGCCAATTGGTCCGACATCGGCCAACACAAATGCCGTAGCCGCATCGGGTAAGTTGAAAATCAATTCAATATCTTGCGAAGCATCGGACAATCGAACATTATTAACGGGAACGAAAGTAATGTTGCCAAAGTCAATGAATTGCACCAGTATGTATCCATCAGGTCGAAAATTGAGAATTCTGGCACGAAGAAAGTCATTGTTCATAGCTTTAACGAGGCATTTTGTACGGGGTTTGGCCGCGCTCGGCGCGACGGGGATCGAGGCCAGCTCGTAATTGATCTTATTGTGCAAGGGCTCGAGCAATGCCCTTATCGACTGATATAACTTTTCATCGGTTTGAGCCCATATTCGCAAAAATTGGCCCTCAGCGTCAACGTGAGTAACCTCGAAGCGGAATGGCACATGCTCTGCGATCACCATGCTTACTACCCTGTCAACAACTGAACAGGATTTACTTAAAACACCATGAATGAGTACAAAGAAGGCGCGCACTGACACGCACGATAAGAAGCGCGACACAGGACTGTAACAGAGTAAAAGAAAATATTCGAAGCAAACACGACTGATATACTCGTCAGTGCGATTGAATGCAAGTGTAGTTTATGACTCGCTTGACAGTCGTCCTCGAACTAGCGACTTTGGCACGCATAAATCAGATCGCAGTAGCTGAGAGCTAACTGAAATCAGCCAAATGTTGTTAAGAAAGAAAGCAGCAGCACTTGAAGATTTCTAGGAAATGGCTTTTGTTTTTCTATTCTCGTAAATCTGTACATGTAGGAGCTTCACCCGATGCTTCGCATATATACGCTTATATATAGACACAAAGTTGAGTATATACACGTATGTGTACTATAGTTGTATTCATGTGTAATAAGTACATCTAGGCCGAGCTGCGAGATCTCATATTTATATTCGCGGATGCCGTACGTTAGTTGTGCGCGCAGTATAAACAGCGAAAGCTCCCCACTGACCGTGTTATCGGTGCCGAGGAATGCTCGCGGCTGACTGAGCCGTCGTCGTCGAACGACACACGCAACACATTCTCAAAGAAGGCGCGAAATTGTACGTCCTATACGTCGCTATCGCAATACGACTAACACGAGAGAAGAGAGGCAGGCGCGCTTGGCGCAGAGAGAAAAGCAAAACACGCTGCGCGACATAATCGCAAATACGGCATCGGCCAGCAGAATTTGCTCGTGCAAAAAACGTTGCTCTCGGCGCGCCGGACGTTTTATGAAATTGCGTGGGATTCTCTAAAAAAATTCGACTTACCGGTAAAGGAGAGAGTAGAGATGATTCGATTCCGTGCGAACGACGGTGTGGCGCGCTAATTTCAGTTGGACGGTTGCAGATTTGCAGTGGCTCGGCAGATGATAAACGAGGGAGCGTCAGATTCGTCAACTGTTTTCACTGTTTTTTTTTTTTGTTTTCGAGTAGCTATTGTCGGGGAGAGAACGATTTTTAATGTTGCTTCTTGAACTAAAATGTTTGATGTAGAAAGAAAATTACCTTTCCTATCGTATTATATCACACAGTTAACGATAACGAGACACGCAAGAGCGACGAATTTACAATACGGAGACGATAACAATAATACGATACGCACAGCAAATCGACGTTCGACTGATAATGAGCTCGACTGGCCGGCTAAACCTCCTTATAAAGGAAAGTCAGAGGATATACGAACTATCCGATGCAGTGGGGGTAAATCTCAACAGCCAGAACTGTATCAATGGTGTTTGTAAAACGTTGCTCGATTGGTCTTTATGTCACGAGTTCGATGGCTGGACTGAGTCCTTCGTATATATGTGTAAGGTGGATATACGTGTTGACGCTGCACGTGCATCTGAAACTGTGAGAAACAATGGCAGGCGATAATCCGTGCGCCTTTTCAAGTTCGAATAGAGTCCGTTGGTGCGACACTCGTGTGCCGAATGTCGTTTCGCAGCACATATACTGTACAAACAAACTCAAAACATCAATTGAAATTTGACCGGTTAAAAAGTGTGTGCATAAAAGAACAAGAGCCAAGCGTCGTAAGAGTCACAAACACTTGTTTATTTTTTTTAAGAGGTCGACCAAAAGTCGCGCAGTTACTCTTTTTACATAAATGCAAAATACGTCGGAAGGGTTTTCTACATCTGCATGCTAGATCTTTAGAAAATACTTTTTTGTTTTTATCGAATGTCGACTGTATAAATAAAATAATTTTGAAAATTTACATAATCAATTGACAAGGCGAATAGGCAAATTGATAAATACTTTGAACTCGCTCTCGATCGTTCGATGATAATCTCTCATTGTTATTTGTATGTACAAGTGCTCGCTAAGCCCCTCGAATATTTTTCGTGCGTACGAGTCACTGTCCATGTGACGATCCTGCACGTGAAAAAATGTTATAATCTTCTAATTTAAGTTTATTAATCAATGACAATTAGCTATGCATAAAAATGAGAGGCGATATCAAACGGAGCTTCAGAAAAAAGTCAAGGCTAGTGTGCTTAATTTAAAGATAATTGTAATTATTTACAATATACAATGATTGTGTTATTGTACATTTTTTGGTAATTCAAGGTACCTAACTATTTCTCAAAAGTACAGCTATAATCATCGAATATTATAAAGAAATTGTAATAATCCATGAAATAAACTATTGTTCGTGTTGTACTGGAAACCAGTTAATCTATCGGGTTAGTAACCTTAGAACTCAATTGCCGGTGTGAATTAGGATAGGTGCCGGTGACGCTTCAAATAGGAGCTGCGAAATAAACGAAAGACGATAATGCCAATTTGTATATTTACTTTCGGTCTGATTGGGAGCGCAAAGATAGTTTTGTTATATGGCCTGGGGCTGTTCCAACAAACGACTTTCCTTTCCTTTGCGGCCAGCGCGGATTATTCGATATCGATCATGCCGATTAATCAAATATGCAGATTCAGTCGCGAAATATATGCTCGGTATAGCCTAATTAATCAAAGCTTCAATCAGCGGCAGAATAATGCGCGACCCTTGCCCTTGCAGCTTCTCCGGCCCTAACGAGATATTCGCGCGAAATTATCATTGGAAATTATCGCTGCCAATACCGATGACGTATTTAAATGTCAGCTCCTCCAGCAGTCGGCGAGTTAACTTATACCAAAGCTGATGAATGTGAAAAAATCAATAACTTGGCCGATTGGGACCGAGCGTCGTCGCGATCGAGACTCGAAACTTATAATGCGATTTGTTCTGCTGGTCCTGGTAAAATAGCTTCGAATTAAGCCACGTTGAAAATGCCTCGATATAACGTGAAAAATTTACATTCAAAAGCTCGACGCTTCTTTGGTTTCTTTTTACCTTCGGCGCTTGCACGAAATAATTAGGAACAATTATTCCCGATCCAGGCCTACTTTCGCAGCTCTTTTTTCTAATCGATCAGTATTATCGCTGTTACTTTCTTTTCTTTTTGTCCGCACACATTTTTTTTGCGCCCGTCCACGTGCGAACGTTCAGTACAATTTTTCGCCAATCGATCGATTAACTTTTCCCTCGTGTGCTTTACTCCTCGTCTCGTCAAGTATTCATGAACTATCCTTCAAAAAGGAAGTTAAACGCTTCTAATTGCATCTACAACATTTATTTGCACATCATCTTCATAAGTTTGCTGTATCAATTGAGTTAGTAATTCGTTTGAGAATTCATCGATTGGTAAAATTCATTAATGACCTTTAAAATTTGTATTTTTTATTAGATTTGCATATGCGGGACAAATATGCGAGTCAGATACTGCACGCAGTGTGTGAACCAATTCCCCAATCAGTTATGGTATTACCAATTCTTTTCTCAATTTGACGAGTTTATTGAGTCAAAAAACATTTTTACAGCGTGTTTACATCATGCCTGAACAAATATCAATTACATTTTTATCGACTGGATCTTGGATGTTTTTTTTAATTTTATACTTTTTCCTGCTATGATTTTTCAAAATCCATTTCGTGATTCCTTCCACGCTGTTGCTTTGAATAACCGATGAAACAACTACAACTAGTCAAAAACAATATAACACAAAAGACTGTAACGATGCATTTACAAAATCGGAGTGAAAATGTGAAAAACAATTTCCAGTATTTGAAAGAAAATGAAAAGGAAATTTATTATTGAAATCTAATGTTTGTCAATGACTATTAAAATGCGACCAATTCGAAAATGTTTTTTTACCCAGGGGATTCGCGCCATATAAGCAATGGATAATAAGAAAAATGCATTCAAGAATTTTCGCTTCGTCGCAGTTCAAAATTTCCTTGCGATCTGAATTATTTCCGTTTTTTTCCTAGCTCCTCCATACGATATACTTGTTTTTTTAAAGGCACATTTTTTTTTAATGTAAATACAAAGCCAGAGATTTAGTCGAAATATTATTATGCGGCGTCCAATTTTATAGAAAATAAATAAACTTTTATCGTTTTATGACTTGTCAACGATAAAAAATTACACAAGATTTTTAAATAAATTATTTTATTGTTGAATAGAACACCGATCGAACTATAATTACATATTAATCATTTTGCTTCTTCTTAGAGGAAGCTATGCGATAGGCTCGAAAATGTGATTTGGAACCAGACGTCGGAGGAAGTGTAACTTTTGAATGAAGACACGTACCGAGACCTAGTTGGGCTTTTTCGGAAGGATATGCATGTCGCAAGAAGCGTAAAAAACGCGTAATTATTTATCAATGTAAGAAATGAATTTCCTTTTTTTAAATCTATTTATTTATTTGATATACATGAAAATACATAAAAATACATAAAAAAAATTATTGCAAATATGATTATTGTCATCGTCACGAGCCGCAGATATGAATGTATATAAAGGCAGCTTGAGTAATTATTACAAATATGATTACAGGTAAACCCCGCTATTCGTGGTTAATTCGTTTCCGAAAAACACGAATACCGAAGCAGAAAAAAGCAGCATAATTTTTTAATTTTTATTGAAGTAGTCAGTCACGATAGACCTAACAGTTGACTCATTAACCTCGAATCATGGCAATTTTTTGAGCTTTTGACCCAAATCCATTACAGTTTTATTCCTTTTTGAGCACTTATCTTTTTTACTTTTATTTGCGGGAGCCATTTTTCCAAAATTTATTTTTATAACCGCGAATAAGCGAATCCGATTCCCGCGAATCAGATATATTGTCATCGTCAAGACCCGCAGCCGCCAAGCAAATACGAAATAAATCTTCGTTCAACAGGTTGTCGATGATCATCTCACAACAGAGAATCGGCAGTCGGTAGTGTATCAATTCCATAAAAGGATCTAGGGCCCAGTCACGGAAAAATGTTCTCGATACTTTCTCGCACAGGCGCAAAGAACAAGCCTCCATAGACATTGGAGGAAGCTTACGCAATTTGTACGAGCTTGCGAACTTGTAGTCGTCCATATACGTGGGATTTTTCGCCATCTCTTCGAATAATAAATCGACCAAATCATCGACCTCCTTACTCGTCGAAGAATCCGTACTTTCGTACAATCCGTACTTGTCGAAAAATCCCATGACCTTCAGGGCGTCGTCTCGGTCCAGTTCGTAGCCTCTTTTCTCGAGCAGTTCGGCAATGGCCAACAGGCCAGTCGCTGCAGTCAGTTTAGTTAAAGAAGGACTATTGACATAATCTTCATACCGATCTTCAGAGAATCTACGACAAAGAGTACGATCGATGTCCTCGAACCTATCAGAGTCACTTGCAGTCGGAAAAACGAAGCCGGACACGTTAGCGCCATGAATCAGCAGAGTCTTGACGGCCAGCGGATTGCAACTTGCCACGGCCCATTCCAGCGGTGTTCGACTCAAATTGTCCCGGGCGTCGATCCCCACCGTCTGCTGCTTTTTTTTGTTTACTCTGAAGAATAGCTCCATCATGTCGCCCTGGATGTCTATCCTGGCAATGAGATGCAGAGGTGTCAATCCTTCCGCATTGGCCACAATAGGATGGGCTCCTATTCTCAACAACCATTCAGCCACCTCGTCGTTCCCTTCCCTTAGAGCTAAATGTAACGGTCTGTTACCCAAATTGTCTTGGGGGTCGATCTGCACAGTCTGTTGCATGTCTTTGTTGATTTCAAAAAATAGCTGCATCGCTAATAAATCGCCCGTCTTGGCCATCTTATGTAGAGGTGTCAGTCCTTCTGCATTCGCTGAATTAGGATCGGCGCCTCTTCTCAGCAGTGATTCGACGACCATCATGTGTCCGGCCTTCAGAGCCAAGTCCAATGGTGTGTCCCCCCACTTGTCCCACGCATTGACTTTTACAACCTGATTGTTTTCTTCGCTGACCTCGAAGATTGTTTCGATCCACTTGTCGTAATCGTCGTTGAAAGTAGAGTGATAAAGTCTCTTGCAAATAATATGAATAGGCGTCGATCCTTCCTTGTTAGTCAAATTCGGACTGGCGCCGTTTTCCAGCAGCACTCGAATAATCTTTTTTGTGTCTTTGATTTTGAAACAATTGGCTACGACATAGAGCAGCGGTGGACCAACTGATGATTTTGGCGCAAGGTAATCGGGATCCTGTCGATGCTCGAGGAAATTCTCCACGATATCATAACAGTAAAACTCGCAAGCCACATGGAAATGACTCAGGCCGGACTCGTTCGTGTAATTTACGTGGAATTTGTCGTAAATTTCGAAAAGTTTTTCCAACACTCGGAAATAGAATCCCCTAATATATATGTTCCGGCATTCAACTATCTCGTGTATTGCTGTGGTACAACACAACAGTGGCTTACCGTTTTCGTCCAATTCAGGCTCGTCCCTGTAGCCGCTGCGAGCAACAAACTCAACGATTTTTAAACACCAAGATGACTTGAGGCTTGATACGAGAAGCAAGTCCATCTCTTGCTTTGTAAAAATGTCGTGCAAATTTGGAAGTTGTTCCTTCCAATCTTTTATTAAGTATCCCCACTGATTGATAACAATGTCTCGATGTTTTTCAAATGTCAAATTAAAATATTTTTTTAACCTCTTCAACTTTTCTAAGTCTGACGGCTCCATGTGCTTGTCGACTGTGTCACCTCCACCTTCAGAACTTTTGCCGGATTCGTCATTTGACGAAGACATTGTTTTTAGCTGTAAAATATTTTTAATGTAAAAAATAATGTAAAATATATTTTTTCACTGCTTACACTGCGACGTTACAACACGTACTGGCTATATGCATGCGCTACGATCTATGTACAGAGAATAAAAAACACATGGGCGAAGCGAGGGGAGCTGTGTACAGAGGCGACTTAAAAGTGAAAGCTTCCAACGTAATTGGGTCCACTCGCGCATCAATAATAATAATGGCACACAGCTAGGCCATAGGCAACGCCCCTACAACGCTGCTCTTTTACTTTCTAATCGTAATACTAATGAATCCGATCTATCCATTGCGTATCGTGAGAAAATTACAGAGATATACGACGGTAACAGAAACGTTGCATTAGGCTCCTTTTACTTAACTTAGATGCAACAAGAATGATGCAATACCACACGTTGGGCATCAATCATACCAATTCCGAATTGACCTTTGCTTTCTTTGGCTTAAAATATATTCGTTTATTGATTTCATACATTTTCGGAGTTTGGTAAATATAGGGAAAATAATATACGCATGCACGTATTGCTTCCTAATCGAGGAAGCTCTGTGATGGTTCCAAAATCGACTTTTATCAATTTTTGTTTTTGATATATTCCGACTACATATTCGTAAAGAAGGCAGAATTCGTGATCGACTTATGTCTGTATGTATTTGTGTGTCTGAATGTATGTACTTAGAATGAGTTTTTTTGAAAACGGGACGGTTCATCTTATTAAAATAAACTACATTTAATGTCAATTATGTTAAGGATAAATCCCGATAAAGTGTTATTTCGATCTGTTAAATATTTCGAAAGTTATTAAGATTTCGGTGTTTCTTACATTTTTGAGCAGTAATTTTGGAAGATAAGCAGCCAAACTTTAAATTTAGATCAAAAACATTAGGATTCATCAGTTATTTTAAAAGTTAAATCGTAAAGAAGAAAATTGTTTTATCTTCGGAAATTGTAGTTTTTTTCACAGGGTTGAAGTTTGTAAAATTGCTTTATTAGCTTTTATAAATAAAATAGGAACGATAATTTTTTTATGAAAAAACTTTTTGCCAATGAATTGGCCACGGTTTTGCTTCATTATAGATGAAACTATGTGATAAGCTCGAACACGAGATTAGAAATCAGACGTCGTAGGATAATTTGGTTTACATATTTATAAATTACATGGTATTATCAACAAATGTCTGTATGCATTATGTGATATGTATATTATAAAAAAAAACGTCTTTTATGAGGAAGCTTTACGCCGACGAATTGGCAGCGGGTTTTAATTTATTTACAAAAATACTTTAAAAGTAACTTTTAAAAGCGCATCAAAATGTTGATACTCTATTACCATTCCGGATGTAGTTGTCACTTTTTGTCTCTTCTTGAATTCTCAACTGACAAGTCTGTAAGTCTTATAGTCTACTGCGATTATTCGGTAGCTGTTCGTATTTCAAGTCACTATTTGTTTGAATTGAAAATATATTTATGAATGAAAATTGTTCTAACATTATATACAAGTTAACTTAACGTTACAAACGTTAAAGGAGACCCCTTAATATTCTCTAAAAGATCGTTTTTGCGTTTGAAATGCTAGCTTCAAAAACGGATACCCGAATTTCTTAATTACACGAGTAAATATTTTATGTAGAACTTGTGAATGGGAGTCAAGTGCAGCTCGATTTACGGAAGGTAAAGCGATCGGCTACTGAATGATTTTTAATTAGGTGCGAAGAGCGATACATTAGTCGGAGGTATTTGTAGTATACACGAAACGAAGGGCATGCGGTCAGCCGGAGAAATCGACTGGTCACGCACGGGGTAAACGCGCGACCAACTTCAAACCGCTCGCACGCGATAGTGCAGCGGGACGCATACTTACTGACTACTACTTAAAGTACGACGATCCAATATCCGATCCGAGTAGCGGCAAGTAGTCGCGAGCCGTGACTCGTTGAGCTCTGCCGCTATACAGAGCTATAATGTACGGGACACGCGAGCTGCAGTCTCGCAATTTATTAATAATAAACAAGTGGATGAGCAGTTGTCAGGTGTAGCCGAGGTCTCGCGGTCTCCTCGCCGCGCGGCAACGTAACACGTCTCGCGAGTTGCGGTGCAAATCACGAGCTGCAGCACTGCGCTACAGATCGTACTGAAACTGCACACCGCAGCTACCATACCACCTATCCGTTTTTTCCTCTCCCTCTCTGTCTCTCTCTTTCGTTGCTCGGCAGCTCGCTCGTATATTAATATTAGCGGCTACGCCCGTATACAGCTTCGCTCGCCTATACTCTGCAGCTACTCTCGGCTACATTGCTCATATCGTATTACTGGGGATATATTTTATTACCTCGTCGCAGCAGCGATCCTGCGACGCTCTCGTCGGCTCATCCTCGCGCGCACCGGACGACTCGTCGGATTGTTTCCGGAGTCGCAGTCGCTGTACGCAGCCAAAGGCACATCCGCTAAACTCTTCCTTCCCTTTTCTCGCTCTCGAGCCGCTCTCAGCTTTTCTGGCCTGCGTAAAAGCTCTTTGCACGCACTCCGGTATATATTATGAGCCTTTCCAGGCTCGTTTTTATTTTCTTACGTACAATGGTCCTTCGGCGTAAAAACGAGTCTACCGTCTCGAGCAGGCCAACGAGGCGACTCCAAGTTACTTTGTAGTCAGTCACCGGTGCTCCAGACCGACTATGCTCCTATATGGAGCATATATAGGGCTGATTAGGCGCGATAACAACGCGGATGAGGGTCTGTCTATTCTGGAGCGCGCTCAGCTTTGATTTAGATTGCATTGGCCGATTAGAGCTGAAATGTTGTGGACGCAGCTCGATTCTCTTGGCTCGATCGGGGCTATACAGCTCGAGCTATAAAATTATATATCAAAGCCACAACGTAACACAGGGGTAGACATTATCGGCGAAGAAGAGGCGATCTGACTCGCAGCCCGGCTCGTGCCATGCAGTATATTAGTTAAACTACAGTCGGACCATTATGGCGTGTAGCGTAGGAAAAGGTGGGCATTTGGTAGCTGTACGTGCAGCCCCTCGCGCGTCACGGGCTCTTTCATGTCTTTGGTCGGCGTCGAAAACGCCACTCGCTGTCGGCCGCCGCTGCATCTCTTTCATGCGCTCGCACAACGTGGATTTATGGTCTAGCTGCTGCTGCAGCGCCGTAAGCGTAACTCGCAACTCGTAATCGCTCGCGATGCGTGCCGTATAATATGTACGCTGCAGCAGCAGCCACATGCGTGTCGAAGAGCAAGAGAGAAGAGCGGGACAGTAGTCGCTGCGGCGAGGAGCAACGACAAGTGAGAAGCCCGTCGAGCTGTTCAGTCGCTCGTGAACGCGCATCGGGCCCGCATATATACCTACGTATTATACACACGAGAACAAGAATAAGAATCGCGAGCGCAGTTTCGGTTTCGCGCGAGCTGGCCCATTGCGGACTCGTATCGATTCCGGTATATTAGTCGACGCTTCGAAGCTGCCATTACGGTACGTATATCTGTTTAGCTGTTTTGTACCAATGACTCGTGTGGGTGCAGGTGCATGTGCATGTGTGTATGCGAACGAAGAGCGAAGAGCGAGGTAATTTTGCAGCTCGGCGGGCTTGATCGACAGCGCGACGTCTTGGACAAATAATCACACCCCCGGGCGTCGTTGGCTCGAGCCTATACATCGTTCGGTATAAAAGGCCGCGAAAGAGTCGCGAGCACACTGCGAAAATAAGCTCGCGCTCTCCTCGCCCCCGCATCTCGACGCGCTCGGCGGCTTTAATATAATTTTGTCAGCGCGTGTATTTGAACTAAATTTATATATCTCGCGCGCGCACGCGGATGTAGCATACGCATATAACTTTGTTCCTACGCTCGCATGTGGAATATACAAATACACGTACAGCACGTATGCGTAGGAGATCGTTTGGCATTTGCAGCGGGCTCTCGCTCTCGCTTTTTCTCTGTATCTACTGCGGCGCGCGTTCAGTCAACTCGTCGACGGCCGGCTGGCATAAATCAATCGAGCGCGCTTTGACGACTAGAGCGTGACATTTTTCCAACTTGCAGCCGCTTGACTATATGCAGTTTCGTTTCGAGATGAGCTCGACGCGCCAATGAACGCGGTTCAACCGCGTACATCAATTACATCGCGGCACCATTTACCTGCGCACCTTTTTTTCCTCATTCACATCCCCGTTGTCCATCTCACTCCTCTAACTCTCTCTTTCTATATCTCGAGCAAGAAATCCGATTTGTCGGATTGTCCACATGCGGGCCAGGACGCGTTTTCGTGCGGCGATAAATCTTTTTGCGCTCGCTTTACATCCGCCGCACACGCGTTAATTATAAGAAGAAGCGTTTCCTGCGTTTAAGCGCGCGCGCGACGAGCGTCTTGGAATGACCGCAGTGTAGTACACGCATACACGAATCTCCGTCGAGTTTATACTCCGCTCTGGCTCACGCAATTCGCTCAATCGGCCGCTCGATGTTGTTTTGGCCAATTGATCGCGGCGCGCTCCAATGAAATTGGAATGTTGTAACAGGTCGAGCTAATATAGCGCTGTAGCGGTGGACTGCACTGGCGTCGAGCGAAGAAAAAGGCAATGCAGCCGAAGCCGTCCACTCGGCAGATAATGAGCCTAACTGCGCCGCCTGATCGTCCGTGCCACTACGATGACTACTACGATTACCCCGATTACCAGGAGGATCGCAATTTGCAATCGTTGCTCTCTACTGCTGCTGCCGCTACTCGTGCTGCTGCTTGGCTCCCTAGTCGTCGTCGCTTCTGCCCAGCCTCACTACGGTAAGGGCCTCTTTTATTTCATCCCGACTATGTTATATACGTTTAACACGGCCATTCAAGTCGAACCGCAAAATCCACTAAAAGACAGGAGACAATTGCGACTACAAGAAACGAGCAAACGAGCGTCGCGCGCTCTAAGCGGAAAATCCGAAAATATATATAATGTACACCCCATGCCGAGCTGGAGCATCGCATTGTGTCATTGAGTCATCGAGTCATTGTTGTATCAATGGGCGGCGGCGCGTGCCCAACTGGCCACTCGAAAATTTCGAAATCACGACTGCCTCGTGTTCTGCGCAGCGGCTTGATAAATCACACGCAGCAGCTATTGTTGCCTAATTCAAAGTGCCACGCTATAAGCTCGCGCGTCTAGACGAGTAATAATGTATTGCTTACAGTTTCCCTGGAAGATCGAGCGAAAAGCATCAGCAGCAGCAGCAGCGGTGCAGGCGAGGCTGGCGGTGGCGGCAACAAAAATGCCCATGAAAATAGGGAGCAACTGCCGGTCTTTGAGCAGACGGCGTCCAACGTCACCGCGTTCGAGGGTCAGACCGTCTATTTGCCCTGCCGAGTGCACAATCTGGCCGACAGATACGTAAGTGTATAATGCGACTTATATAGCTACCTGAGGCCGGCGTATAGCCCATGGACTGCAGCAGCAGTTGCCTCCCCCGACTCAGCCGTTTTTTTTTTTCTTTTTTTTTTTGTGCCAGAGTCACGTCTCGCGCCAGGGGCAGATTCCGCAATTCAGCGCGGCGGCAGCTCTTAATTGAAATTCCGCCCGCTGCCTCCCTCTTTCGTCGGCTGAAAATTAGCTTATTTTTGAGAAAGTGCGCAGAGCTGAGCCGCGTCATTCGATGCGTTTGATAGCGCGCGATTTAATTGAAACTGCCTGTTGATTGAAACGGATCGTGGCAGTTATTTGCAGAGAGCAGATCGCAATATAAGCCGGTGTAGTAGTACGAGCTCGACGTCGATGAGTTGTATCTATAATAAGCCCCGCTGCAGCTGATAATTGGCTAACGTTCCGTCGCGGATCGAAACGAAGCGTCGAGCTCGTAGTCGTCGTCGTCGTCGGCTAGCGCTCGATTTTCGCAACATATATATATGAACTCGAGCTCGCTCGCGGATGCGCAATATCCACGAGAGCTGCAACAAAGAATAAAAATAATACCGAGATTGCAGCGACTATATACGAGTCTTTTGCAGGTCATCTCTTTTAGGGCGGCTCGAGTGGAAAAACTTTTCCAGAAGAAAGATTTATAGCCTCTCTCTCTCTCTCTCTCTCTGTTCGAATCGCAACTGCGCGCGCTGTAAAGCTGGCCAGTGAAAAAGCGAGCGAGGGAGCTCTCTGTGCAAAAAAAGAGTCGGGAGAAAAAGTATATGCTGCGCCATGGCAGCGCGCCGCTCCTTTCGATAAGTGCAGCTCGTTCGAGTCTCCGGGGAAAATATATATGTTTAAGAAGGAAAATTGTTACTCTGTCGCTCTCTCGCGCACTGCTGAAAATTGGATCATTGCATTTGGCGCCCCCGCGCGCACTACTATACGGCCGTGTGCACTGTGCAGCGCAATGTGTAGGCGTGCGCGCGTTTTCACTGCAATTACGCGTCATGGTGGCTCCTATAGGAGCTGCGAAACTCAATTAATGTCAAGTGCAGCGGCTGCACTGCGCGCCAACCTCCAGCCCAACGCCGTATTATACATTATGCATGATAAATTGCAAATTTTATTCAAAACACAATGACATTATGCGCAGCGTGTAACGAGCCGGTGACGAGTATATAATGATTAAGACTCGCTGCAGCGTGTTATGTACCAACGACGGGTGTTTGCTCAGCCATCGACATAATTTCTTCTTTTCTTTCTTCTTGTGCCGTCTTATTCTTAAAACTCTTTTTCTCTTTTGCAGCAAGTCTCCTGGATGAGAAGCAGAGACCTGCACATCTTGAGCTTCGCCAGCGTCATGTACATCTCGGACCGGCGCTTCAAGCTGCAGCATCTGAACGGCAGCGACGCCTGGACTCTGCAGCTCGATCGCGTCCGCAAGTCCGACGCCGGCAGGTACGAGTGCCAAGTCAACAGCGAGCCCAAAATCATGTACGCCGTGCAGCTCGCCGTCAAAGGTCACAGCTATACACAAATTACATCCGATTATCGTTTTATCTCGTCTTTAATAATAATAATAATAATAATAATAATAATAATAATAATCGTTTTTGCAGATCCTAACAATCCAGACGAAGGCGAGCCCCAGTCTCAGCAAAGCAGGATAAGTAAGTATATACGCATACACCGCATCAGCTATTCGAGCTTTGGCGCACAAGAATATCTTCTTTCTGTAAATATGACGAATTCGCAGTCGAGAGAGAGAGAGAGAGATCCGCAGAGATCCTCTCGCTTTCCGCCTCGTATAATGTATTTGACTGTGTAGCTACGCCCGCGCGAGTTTAATTCGAGTATAATGGGATTAGCCTTAATTCTTCGTTCCTCTGGAGCCTCTACAGACAGAGAGAGAGAGAGAGAGAGAGAGAGAGAGAGAGAGAGAGAGAGCTAGAGAGAGCTGAGAACTGGAAAGCGCGAAAAGCTAGAGACGAAATAATAATAAAAAACAGTCGAGTCTTGGCTTTGGCTCTTTGAATAATCCAATATTAAGACAAATCTCGCGGCTAAATTAAAAAAGCTACAAAGCTACTTTTCCCGTTTTGCGTGGAGCAGGTTTCGAGAGCACCGCACCGGTCGCCGCCATCCTCGGTCCGAGGGAGCTCAGACTGGCCGCGGGATCGACCATCAGCTTCAAGTGCATCGTCACCTCGCCCTACCTCACGAGGCCCATCAAGGCCGTCCAGTGGCTCAAGGACAACAGACTGCTCACATTCCAGGTTAATTCATGCCTTACAAAAGTATATATGCCAATTGCAATGTCTATTGTAGTTTGTAGAAGGCGATGGCCTTTACGAGCCTCTTTTATATATATTTACTTACCCTCTCGTTTGTATGTATTGTGTTACTTTAGTCCGAGCGAGGAGGCATAAACGTCGAGACGGTAGCCAACACGGCGCAGACTCTCAGCGAAGCCACACTGGCGAATCTTGGCAAGCAGGACAGCGGCAAGTATACCTGCCGACCCAACGAAGGCAAAGCCGACTCGGTACTGCTCTACGTTCAAGACGGTAATGAACATTGCGATCCTAATTTGGCATTGTCTTCCTTGACGATCCTCGTGGGAAACTAACTCGGGACGCTTCTTTTTGCAGGCGAGCTTACGGAAGCCATGCTCAGGGATGCCGCCGGCTACTCCGCTTCTGCCTCTTCCGTTTCGATCTCGGCTCGATTCTTAGCCACTGCTGCCGCCGTCCTTGCTGCTCTTCTCGGCTTTTAGCTTCTGACCGTTTATTTCTTTTGTACATATATAACGTATCGTCGTTCTAGTTATAGCTACTCGTATCATTTTAATACACAGAATTTTATGTTTATATCTGCAGTTGGAGCACAAAGATTTATAAAGAGGAAAATAGGGTAATTTACGTTTAATTACACACGTATGAATTATATCATTGTAACAATGTACTTTTATTGATGTATTCTGTTGGTACAAAAAATGAAAATTTACTTTACTGGGTGTGATATATCGTCGCCGGCTTGTCGAACGAATAAAATGTGCGTTTTGCATCTTCCATATATCATTATTATTAATAAATCATTGTATCGTACGTACACACGAATCGTGTCATCATTTGATCCCTTTATTATATATTTTATTAAATCAACTAGGATGATGTATTGAGTTTCTTTGCTTCCTACGAGTACTTTCCTGTTATTTATTCGCGTTCTGCTTGTCAACTGTACACGTGCGATAGCGCCCAAAGTCTCCTTTGTCCGGCTCGTAAAAATATTTCTAAAAGCTTTCAATGAACTCGCTCAACTCGTTACGTATAATGGAACATTTTGCTGAATAAATTTGGCAGGTATCGTATCCGATCGCAACGAAAAAAAAGTCCCGCCCGATTGCGCAATTATTTAATTGGTTTTCATATATTTATTTATACGATATAAGTTTCAACATGTTTTATATACATCGCAAGTACTAACGAATCTTACAAATTTATCGAACGAAATTGTCATTTTGTATATTGGTTTGCTGCGGGATGCGCTGTGGATCGTTAAAGACGCTGCAGGCACGGCTGCCGCATACGTTACGAGGCTTCGACTTTGGCCGAGCTGCAACTGCATTAGCTGGCTGCACGAGACGAAATGTTCTTTTCTTATTTACAGGATCACGCGCGATCGTGCGCGGAGCTCGAGCTGTCTCCGGGAAAGGATGCAGCTTCGTTCTTGTGAGCGCACGAGGCAACTGCTGAAGCAGCCCGAGCTCGTATAACAGATCGATATACGCCGCATGCGTAGAATGTACAGTCGGTCGCGGCAGCTAATTTTCAACGATTACCAATATCTTTTTTTTTTCTATATATTTATACGTAATATGTACAGGTTGGTAGTCACTGCTTCGGCTTGGTGATTTTGATTTGCGCTTACTTGACTATTACATTATGTATAGGCCCCGAAAGTCGAGCTCTTGGGCTCAGAGCAAAGGCCCTCAGCTCAGCGAGTCGTTGTTGAAGACGAGGCTGGTCAGCATCGAGAGCAAAATCAAGGGAGCAGCCGAGCTCATGGCAGTTCCGCCGTGCTGCATGGCCGCCGGATGCTCACCTAGAGTCGAGAACAGAAAAGCGACGAAGAGATTAGAGTTCTCTCGACACGAGTAGCGCTAGATGGGTATGGCTGGAAAAACTCGAAAAGTCGAAGATATAAACCGACCATTGAGAACGTGAACCGTGACGCTGGCAGGATTGGCGTTGCTGGGTATGCAGGTGTAGTTGCCGCTGTCGCTCAGTCGGGCCTGCGTAACCAGAAGTTTGCTCGTGGTGCCGCTCTCCGTTTTCTCCGTCTCCAAGGATATTCCGCCCCTGCAACACCGCATCGACCGAGTATATGACTCACCGATTCAAAGGGAGATTCGTTTTCGAGTCGTGTTATACCTTGGACTATCGAAGTCTACGAGGGAGGCGCCGTGATGCCAGGAGACGCTGCTGGGCGGCGTGCTGTGCACGTTGACGACGCACGTGAGGCTGATGGTGCTGCCCTTCTTCACGTAAACGTCCTCGGGCTCGCGAATTTTCGCTTGCGCCGCTGCAACACGACGTTCAAAGGGTCAGACTTTATTGTTACTATATAACTCTTGTTGATCTCTGCTGGCCAGCTATATATCGACTAATTCCCCTCCATCGAGTAACACACAATACTTTTTACAAAAATATTTCTAATGTCAGCTGCAAACTAGCTCCTGCTAATATAAATGAAATGCGCTTCATTCGCGTCGATCAAGCTGCAAAGATGCACATCGAAATCGTAGGCAAGCAATAACGCAGAAAGAGAGAGAGAGAGAGAGAGAGAGAGAGACTAAGAGGATTCGGCAATCGGCAGTGGCATGCAGAAAGAGAAAACGATTGGCTACTACGGCAGGTACAATTCTCTGTATACGAGCTACTGAAGCGATTCGAGCGTGAGAGCTCGAGTTGAGTCTAACCTGATCCGAAGGTCCGGTGAATTGGTGAGATAGTGGTGATGGTGATGGTGGTGGTGGTAGCAGTAAGGACAAGGGCTCTGTCTGTTAAATTACACACACATACGAGAGGCAATTAATAAAAAACAATAGTCAATATCTGGCTAAATATCGATCGACTACACTTGGTCTAGTCGCGATAATAATGTGTCGCCTAGAGAGAGATGCCGCATGCAGCTGGTAGATGGTGGGAGGTAAGTCTACGTATAGGATATCTCGAAGGAACTCGTGTGCGGAAAACGCTATTATATATCTTTAAGAGTATATCGTTATAGGAGCTGGGTTACCTTCTACTCGCAGCAGGAAGGGCAGCATGAGCTTGGGCTCGGTGTTGATCTGGCACTCGTAGATGCCGGCGTCCCGGGGCTGCACGTAGGCGATCCTCAGTCGCCACTCGTCGGTCGTCTCGGGATGCAGCACGCTGAAGCGGCCGTCCCCCGTGAACGTGTAGATCGACGAGGTCAGTATGTGCAGGTCTCGCTTCCGCATCCACGACACCTATGCATAATTAATTGTGTGCAGGTGAATCGCACAGAGGGCATTACGTATATAATTCCATTTACACGGTAATTTGCATTATATTTCATAAGCTAGCTGCGAGGGGGAAAAAAACTCGGTCGAATTAGGCAGAGGCCGCGGGCGCGATAAATAACCATCCCGAAGCTCGTAAATCTGTCGACGCGCGCCCGCCAAAAGAGGCGAAAAAACGCCGCGGAAAAGACAAAAAGAGCCAAGGCAGAAAAAGCTCCATCCCCGGCCGTAGTTGCGCTATCTCTATGGAGCTCTCGTACAGCCGGGTGCAATTCTTGCACAGTGCGACGCTGGCAGGCAATGGGAGCGCGCAGCTACTTTTTTGTATTTGCCTAGATTGGACGCGCGCGGCTTGCTCGCGGCAAACTTCGCGACGAGTCTCGAAGTGCGTTTAAAAAGTCGTGCGCGTCGGCGTCGAAGGAGCCTCCCATACGTCCTATAGTAGTCCTTGTGTTGGCTTGTACAGTAGCTGCCGCTGCGAAATTTGTCTCGGAGGCGGCCGCAGCAACTTTGCTCTCTCTGTGCGAGAGACTTTGCCATTTGGATAAAAGCTGAGGCGCGCCTGGTATATATGGCTAACGACGACGACGACGACGAGCCTGCCGCGCGCCTCCATATCCATCCATCCGACGACGACGAAGCCATTGTTCGCGAGCTTGCGGAAAAAAGTTCGCTCGGCTGAGATTGCACAGTCATTTGGAGTGCAGCCCGTGCAGTACACAGTACACTGTACACAGTACGCAATGGCTAACGCTCTCTTTCTCTCTCTGGCTCTGGCGAAAGTAAGCGGGTGAAAAGGCAGAAAACGAGGCAACGGATCGCTGCGATGCGGCTATATAGGTTTTTCTTTTTTTTTCAGATAGCCGAGGGCGTGCATAAAGTACGGCATTGTCTTTGGCGGCAGTAGCAGCTATAGCCAGTGGAAAAGGTAGAGAGAGAGAGAAAGAGAGAGAGAGAGAGAGAGAGAGAAAGCGATAAGACGTGCGCGGGATAAGCAAGTGATGCATGTGGGGCTGCCCCTGCGGAATGCCCCCGTTAGTGGCTCGCCTGTGTACAGCTTAGCCCGCCAGGCCACGACGGAATATACGATAACTGCTCTCTCGACCGAACTTTACGCGATCGGCTTTGAGCGAGCTTTGGCCGCGTCGTGAGCGAGCAGTCATCGTCATTAGCCATCGAAGCCTCTCGTTCGGACGATCTCTCGTCGCGACTTTCTCGAGTAACTACGAGCTCTATTCTGCCTCCCTCTCACGGCTCGATCGATCATGGATGCGATCCTCAAGGTACGCCTCTCGCTCGTTCGAGCACGGACGAGCCGACGTCGCACTGATCGCATAAATTTCTCGATAACAGGTGGCTTGCTGCTTTTGTTTGCTGAGCTTTTCCTACGCGGCTCCACCGCAGCCGCAAGACAACAACCAATTGAGCAACGAGATTCCGCTTCTAAATCACGAGGACGTACTAACGCAACAGCCCGGCAGACGGGCCGGACCACCGCCGCCTTACGACCTCGTCGGCCAAGACAACAATCCGCCACCTTATTGGGCGCAAGACAACGAGATTTACGAGCCGCCACCCTCCTACATGATGTCGCAGTACAACAACTTGCACCCCGGCCATAGGGCCAACGCCACCGCCGATAGCGAGGCCGCCAGCTCACGGGGATGTAGCCGGGAAGATTGCGCCGATTGCGAGGCTTTTTGTCGGCGGCCCACTCTCGACGGCCTCTGCTCGCTTATCGCCGAGTGCTGCTGTCCCCAGTTCATGCCTAATCCCAACCGTTTTTAATTTATCCACATTGCGACCCGCTTTAATAAATCTCTTTGATCGAGCTTGACATTTTGTTTTTTCTTTTCGACAAATTCAAAATTATTATTATACGGACGAGGCTTCGAAAAGAGGCTAAAACTTTACTCGTCAAAAGAGCCTCACGAGCGAAGAATCTAGTCGGAATTCTAGGCTGAATTCGTGACTGACGTCATTCTATTGCTTGCACAAGTTTCGCAGTACATTAGCTGCACGACGCGCATAAACAGCTGAAATTCAAGTACGAGCATTTGCCTCTCGAGAGCCAAGCAGCGTCGCAATTCAGGCAAGTTGCAACTCGTACATTCGCCGGCAACATGTACAACTCAAAGGTATATCTAATTATATAACATATCGAAAAAAGAACCGAGTTTTCGTATCGAACCTCGGTCTAACGGGGATCACTTGAAAAATTGCTCTGACCATATGAGCGCAGGTGTGGACTTTTGTGAGCTCGCTATGGATCGTTGGGGTCTTGATCATCGGTAGCGAGTCGGCATCGCTTCCAGAAGACCTCAGCAACGATCGCGAGAGCAGCGTCAACGCCACGGGCGATTACTACAGGTACCAGCTGGACAACGGCACCGAAGTGTCGGAGATCGACGCCTTGATCAAGCCCGAGGACAACAAGGGCCCGCCGCCCCCGTACATTCCGAACCACGAGGAATTCGGCGAGCCGTCGCCGTACTTCCCTGCCGAGAACGAGAACTCGGAGAAGCCGCCCAAGTACACGATGCGCGACCCCATGCCGCCGGTCGAGACTCGAGTCGACATTCCCGATTCCGACCAGACTTGCACGGAGAGCGTCTGCTTGCACGAGTGCCGCCAGTTCTGCAAGCGACTGGCCATTTCGGGCTGTTTCGTCCTCGCCTGCACAGCCGTTGTGGCCTGCTGCAATGAGCTCGTGGCTCTGCGCGCTCACCACTAGAATAATTCATTCTCCCGCGTCCTTATTTTATACTCATTATTGTATCGAGAAATTAAATGTCAATAAATTAAATGGATTGACGAATCAACGAGATGGTTTACTTTCAATCAATCAGCGGCCAACGATTACTTCTCTTCCATACATTATTTTCCTTCTTCTTTCCCACGAGCCGTCAGAGAAAATCTTATCAAAGAATTAACAAATTGAAGATTATTTTCTCTTGGGGCTTATTTGGCTTGAAAGTTTTTCACAATCGTTTTCACTCTATTTATTTTACGATTTATTTTAGCTTGATATGAGCTAAAAGTTTTAAGCATTATGTGAAGTTTTGATATAAATATCAAGCAAAGAAACCCAATGCAAAGGTTTAAAATTATCCATACAAAAAAGTTTAGCTTTATCAAAATCGTTGCCACCCTCGCTGGCAAGGGCGAGGTACTTTTAAGAGCGATTGATACGAATTATTTTATTGCCTCGATGATTCTCTCATAAATGTAGACTTTTACAAAAAAGTAATGAAAAATCGTTTAGTGAAAAAAAGGTCTATAATGTAGATTAATCGAAGAGTTTTTAATTGAACTCTGATTGGTGACCAGGTCCTCTGTTAAACTTGTCCAATGACGAAGACGTCAAATGTCGTGCAGTTTTAACTGCAGGCGTGTGCGATAAGTTCACACGAAAATTTTACGATTGGACACGAGTCACGAGCAATGTTTTATTACAAACTTGTCGACTACTCACTTGCAACATTTAAAAAAATTTGGCATTCGCTCAAAGTTTCAGCTACCATTTAGCACATCGTTTTGGAAGCTCCTTGCAGATAAGCTCGAACAACCGAATACGTCCTAGAATAGCCAAAGTAAGTGATCTCCATAAGCGAAAATATAATTTGCAAAGGAATAAAAAGTAAAAATAATCGAACAATTATTGCATTATTCAGATGCGGTTTTGGATTCTATTAACGATACTTAGCCTCGTGAGCATCTTGAGCGCAAACGCCACGAAGCCAACGAGAAGACAGCGTCCGACCCGAGCTCCGAGTCACTCGGACGACGGAAGGCCGGTCGGCCCGCCGCCGCCCTACAACCCCAACCACCACAACGAGCCGGCCCCGTACTACCCGGGGGAGCACGAGCACAATGAGAAACCGCCGGCCTACAAGGAATGCAACCCTCAGGCGTGCCGGCGCTGCGGCGCCGACCGCGACCGATGCAGACATCCCCAGAACTCGCGCCTCTCCCGTTTCTGCATCGGCCTGTTCGAGTGTTGCTGTGCCCCGCTTCTCGATTGAGCAACTCGACGTTGAACATACGTTGATCTAGGAGCCAGATGACGCAACTCAACAGCAGCGTCGTCACCTTTACATCGTAGATCTTTCCAATCGATGCTTGATACATTTTTTATATTTTAAATAATTATTCAAACTCGATAAACTTTTCTGTTTTTGTTTGCTTTCACGTTCACCCCTCAGCGTTAATGACAATATCGTCACTCTGCTGTGCCGTACCCTCCACTCCATCAACGAGTATTAAAGAATTAATTCTATTTATTAAAAGTTCGAAAAACTTGTCGGATTATTTGTTCGCGTTGAATGCGCTCAAGCTGCTGCATATCGAATGAAAATTGAGCGCGAGAATTTCGACGCTTTGGCAAAAGTCGCACGCGTCCAAAATTCCTATAGCATATAACGCTTTTTATTCGTCCGCCGCTCGTGTATACATACTTTTTGACGCTCGCGATGTCATCCCGATTAAAGGTAATTCGATCGCTGCCGCCGCGCGCAACAATCGCTCGCACGAGCTCGCAATTTTTTGACGCGCGAAAACGAGCTCTCGCAGCTCTCGATGTAATTAAATCTCTCATCGGAAGCGTCGCCAATTTATAAAGTCGGAATATATAGTGCCGGCGTCGATCCTGACGCTATATACGTGTAGAGAACAATTCGCACTCGAAAACGACGAGAGAAAAATTCGTTTCAAAAATCTTAGGAAGCAGCGCAGCCTTTACTATATGGTTAATTGTAACAAAGTCGATTTTTTGCTCTCGTTTGTGAGGTCGCGTATTTTGTTTCCCCGAGTCCAACAAGTCGAATACGAAAAATATTGTTTTGCAATTACAAATCAGCTGTAATTAATTGTGAGCTTGCTCGAAAGCACCTAACAACGGACCAAAGTTTTGTTTCGAGCAAAGGAACCGAGAAGGGCCGAGAATGTAAGATATATCCCGCGTAAAAAAATTTAGGTTTCGCGGAACTTTTTTTAAGTTTGGCGATTTTGCCGAACTTATGTAACGTCGCCTACAAACAGGCCACAAAATTCAAAACTTCGAAAACCTCCAAAACGCCTGCCCGTAGGCAGCCCGTCTTACATGCAGCTCCGCGAGCTACTCGGGACTTTCCGAACGGCCCGGCGCCCAGCTGTAAGAAATCTAACGCCTTTTTTTACGACCGCCATAAACACTCAACAGATACATTTTTCGACAAAGAAAAAGGCCACATCGAACGATCGAGAAAACGAACGTTCGAGAATATGAAAACACATGGCAAATATTTCTAACCGATATGTAAAACGCCCGAATTATTTAATAACTAATATTCACTCCGAATCAGCCTCAGATTGAGACCGATACACCTCGATTTCTACAGACTCTCTTTTCTTTCATAAAACCTCTCTCTGCCTCCCGCAATAAACAATAAGGCCATAAACAATTTAAGTTACAATAAACAGCCAATGTTAACGTGAGGAACAGCGGGACAACCGAAATAGCAACGAACAGCTAAGTATAACATTTACCCTATGATGTAACAAACCAATTAAAAAAGAACAATTAATAACAATTATTTGCAACTGAATAAACATAATTACAACATCACTTGTAAGTACAATGTTCGAGAACATTCGATGGTCGGCTTGGAAATTGGAAAAGGACAGAGAGACAAAACCTTCGGCGCAACGTCGTCATACGACAGATTGGGCCTATCAAAGCTCTCAAAGAGCAATAAAAATCTCAGCCGCCGAAAGCCAGCGTCGACTAAGTCACCAAAAGCTTCAGTCGACTCTGCCTATTCGTGCTCCAGCATTCTAACAGTACAGATGTACACTAAAATCGCGCTCCGCGAGTAAAAGTGAAGTGCTCTTAACAACTTATAGTATAGAGCTCACTGTCCGGCCCCAACTTCCAAGCCGCCATCCAGTTCGCTTGTACAACTAATCAACGAAAATGTAAGTCTACGTATAATGTCTTAAATAAACTCTCTATTTTCTTTATATAAAACTACTCTCTCTCAATTCTTGCTATCCACCTACAAACATGCTACGCTAAATAAGTAATAATAAACCTAATACATTCACTGCCGACCTGGCGATGAACGAGTAATCGTTTCGCCGGGTCGAACGTGTTCCTCCTCCATACAAATACACGTCGCTCGCAAGTCGCCGGTCCTCAGCCGACCTCTTGTGTCTCGTCTCCTCGTGGACGTGGCACGAGAAAAGGCTAAAATCGTTATCCGAGGCCACGCGAACCTTCGGTTTGCAACACTAAGTCCCTTCTGGAC